CTCTTTGAATCCCTTTCTTGCAAAAAGATTTCCTTCAGGCGTTGTACGGCATTGGTCTCCTCTTCGCTTGAATCGCTTGAGGAAGCGGCATACGAGACCAAAGCCTCCGCCTGTTCATCATCATCCACCACATCTGCCCACGCTCTGCTGAACCGATACGACAACCCACCACGAGGCTTCAGTTCCAGTGGCTTCGGCTTTTCCACCACTTCCGCCGGTTGCACTCGTCGTTGTGACCGAGAGCGTGGCACCTGTCGCACCTGTTTTTTGTCCAGCAAGGGCCTTCCCCTTCTCACAGGGTTTGATCTTGACCGATACTTTTTTGTTGGTGGATTCACCGGCGGCATTCCAACTCCCACCAACCGCAGCTTCTGTACACACAACGGAGACCTCTGCGCAAGCGTCCAACCATCACGGTACCTGACCTTATCAAAAAGCTCCCGATAGGAGCCTCTCGGCATAGTTTTTGCACCGGAGTCTTCAGCTTCACGCACCTGAGTGAGGGTTCGCACCGCCGCTCTTCCAGTCCCTTTGTTCCCAGAAGATTGTTGTACCCGTACAGATGCATCAGAAGGAACTGCCTTTTCCGGTCCTCCCGGTCGATATCGGACATCACCCACCAATTGCAGAATTTTGCATGCGGTCACTTTGTTGATCCCTTTGTCAACCAAATCTTCCACAAAGATGAACTCTTGCAAATCCGACACATTGGTCACACCAAGCGTAATCATCACCTCACTTACATGAGGGGTATACACCCACAGGTGTGCGTTGCGAGCCATCCAATTTTCAATTGGCTCCTCCGGATTTTGAAGCTGAGTACCAGTGGATGCAGCCACGGAATTCTTTTGTTCATCAGCTTCTGCTTCATCCAGAGTACCTTTTTCACCATCCTTTTGTGACACATTGGTCATTTGCAGTGCCTTCGGTGCCGAGGATGAGGAAGATTCAGCTCCCCCGCTTGCAGGCGGCTGAAACGTGCTTCTATCCGTAATCTCCCATCCTCTCTCTTTTTCAAACCGGACCTGATTGGCCACCTGTACCAAGTGTTTCAGGAGCGACAACCGCTCCTCTGACATCTCGTCATGGGAGTACTTGCAGAAATTTAACCCTTTCCGGCAACGTCCTCGGAGGTAATAATCGAAACAGCAATTGTGGAACCCTGCGTCCCTTAGTGACTTCCTGGAAGCATTGTCCCAAGATTTGCCGGGCTCCCAAGTCCCTTCCAATGCTATGTCATCGTTGTGAAGGTACCTGCATGCAGTCCCATATTTACAACCACCTTGATTGTAATACAGACACAGCCGACCTTTTGGCTCACCTGACGTAGGCTCACCCTTTGATGCACCTTTGCCAAAATTGTACTTGGCCCGGAAGGCTAAATCCTCCCGCTCCTGCTGTGCCTCATCCACTGTACCTTCCTCTGTGGGAGGGTCACCGATGTTCCCATCCTCATCATCAGCTTCTTGGCTATTCTTTGGATCAGTTGACCCTCCTCCTGGCCAACCTTCACCATAACGACGATGCTCATAGGAACACTCATCACCATTGCGACACCTTCCCCGATTGAAGAACTTGCACAGCTTGCTGTAACCAGGTGACAACACAGTCTTTGGTGTCATGTAAGCCTTTTTGTACTGGTCAGGGTCCATGTAGGCTTCCATTGGCTTGTTCTCCCTTTTGCTCATGGATTGCACTGCACCATCAAGCTCCTGCAAAAATAGCTTGGTGTCCAACCAAAGCGCGTTCCAAAACTCATCTTCCCCTTGATTCAGCACCGTTGCCACCGCTTCACCCACAACTGGTCGAGAAAATCTCCTTTTTTTGCATGCCAGTTCGAAAAGCGCGTTGTGGTACTGTTTTCGGGAAAAAGTGGTTAACTCCCCCAAGCCTGTGCTTTCTGTACCATCAGGCTTCCAACCGCTATTTTGCAAGATGCCATACGCGCGCCGAGCTTCCGCATTGAGGAATGCCTGATCTGCAACACACTCCTGTAAATCTTCCATCGGGCGACCCAACAGCATCCCTGTAATTTTGCCAACATAGGCTTCCTCTTCGTTTCCATTCTCCAGAAGAGCTTTATAGATCTTTTCTCCATAAAGTTGTCTTTCTTCTCGTTCTTCAGAGGATAACTCCTGTATCACAAGCTTTGCTCTTCCTCCTGTTTCCAGTCCCATTGACCGTTGGAATCTCGGTACCACTGACCAACATACCATGGATTCGTCCACCACGTACTCCAGCCGCTGGGTTTCCACTTCCGCAGCGTTGAGGAAGAGTCCTCCCCGTCCTCTTCCAAAACCAGAAAGGTGTCCAAGATTATGGTACCATCATCTTCCACTAGTTTCACTGTTCCATTGACAGTATCACCAAATCTGAAATGGCACGTATTGTTCCCTTCTGCAGGAATCAATACATTCAAATCACCATGGTCCAAAAAGGCTCCATACCCATTGATGCAGCGCACTAGACCTATGATCTCATCTCCCTCTTGATAGCAATGTGTCCCAGGTGATTCCAAGGCTCCCGCTCGGGGCACTTTCTTTGCGTGCTCTTCAGAAACCACCTCTGTATCATCGGCTCCTGGCGCATCCTTTGTTTTCACCTTTGAGTCACACTGCTCGTCCTGCTCCACGAGTCCCACAAGCTCATCTTTTTTGTGCTCCTGGACTTCAGGACCTCTCTTTTTCTCCGCCAAAGGCTTTGCCTCATCTGCTGTAATTCGCTCGGTGTCGACTTCCGGCGAACTTCCAGACGGCAACACTTCTCCCTTCATGGGAGTGGACCCATCATTGGAGTCCTTTGTCACACCTTCTGCAGCAGGCAAATCTTCCTCCACTGCAGGGCAATTGAGTCGATCATCCACGGCAGGCACGCTTTCTTCCACCGCAGGATCCTTTGGTTCCATGGCTTCCAAAGGAGAATTTCCACCATCATTGACCACAGCTGCCTCATTGGCTCCGGTGTAGCCCTTGTCATTTCGTTCCTCGCTGCTAACTTCAGGTTGCACCAGTGCGTCCACCTGTGAACCTCCATCATCAGCTGCTGCGGAGACCTGCGCCCCATTGTTGCAGTCGCCCGTGGAACGTAACGCCATATGCACCTCAACCCGTGCTTCCTTCGCACTCCAGGTAATATCTGGCGCATCGACCCGCGCATCATTGGCGCTCCAGGCCTCATTTTTCAGATCTTCTGTGTCTCCAGCTATTCCAGAAGCTTCTTTTTCCCTTTGAATGGCAGGAACCTTGGCACCAAACGAAGAGACCTCCTCAGTCGCAACACACGACCTTTTCCCTCCGTCTTCCAAATCTCCAGGACCACATTCCCGAACGACAGGTACCACATCCACCACTCGATCTTCTGCAGCCGACACAGTTCCGATCTCCACATTGGGAATCTTTTCTTCTGGACCTACCGATTCCACCGCTGCCACACCCTCAGAAAGTGCTCCCATTCCTTCCCGATCCAGATGTTGAGCTCCAGCGATGTCTGTTCGGTTTCCAGGAATCTCCTCCTCATCAGGAGAACCCGAGGTCGGGGCGTCACCACCAGCCCTAGGACCGCTATCCCTGATAGTAGAGGAAAAATCTTTTTCACCTAAACTATTTACACTACCCTGGAATGCCCTCGTAGACTCAGTCTTCGGAGTAGAGGATGAAGAATCCAGTGCCGCCTCCATTTCCAGCTCATTGCCCGAAGGAGACCCAACCACCTCGTCACTCTTCATCTTTTCACCTACCACCGGCAATGTCCACTTGCTTTCCTGCGTATCCAGGCAGTAATAATATTGTCTCCCATCTTCATGGAGGTGCCATTCCCACGTTGTCCCATCGCACGCTTTGATCAGATGCTCGTCTTTCTGAAAACCATCCCTTTCAGAGACCTGTCGCATCTCGTCCTCTTCTTCGGACAACTGTCGCAACCTCTCAGCCTCCATCTGTAGGATCTCCTCCTCCCCCATGGCGTATCCAGCAGCAGGTGCAGCTTCAAAGCTGTCCGCACCCTTCTGTTCATGACCGCTTCCACCACCTTGGGAACTCGAAGATGGACCCCTTTTGATCTTGTTCAGAGGCCTCCGGGCCGCTTGCAGCACTTCTCCAATCAGATCGGTCTGAGACTCTTGGTCTACCATTCGACCCGAAGTCGAAGACGACGGCTGATACCCGTGTTTGTGCAACACTCGTAAAACAGTCACCTCCATTTCACGATCTATACCACCAGTCGCGTCCCAGTTCCTTTTCTCACCAGGCTTTGGCGATACAGAAACAGCACGTCCTTCAGCTTCAGCATTGCTAACCATATCCCTATTGGGATTCATACCCACATTGGGGCTTTCTGCAACCAAGGCCTCTTCCAGATGTTCTTCAGCGCCGGGAATCACCTCTTCCAACACCGATCTTTCACCCAGAGACTCAGCTGCACCATTTCCAGCTCCACCATCTTGTCCACCATCCGAGGCAAGTTGGAGCCATCGCTTCGGAGAAGGCATTGCTTCTTGATCCCAAAAACCTTGAAAGAACACTTAACCGCAGGGAACCTAATTTGGGCTCATAACCTACGGGGGGACAACCAAGGAAGGAAATCAACTCCCCTAATCGCCCTGAACTTATATTTCCCAGATCGAACCAAGAAACAACCAAGAACACGGATAAGAGCAACAAGGAAGGGGCACCCTTACACCAGTAGAGGGGCACTAACCCAACCCTCACTCCCAAACACGGACTTTTTTCTTTGGACGGGCTGGCCATCCTTGAGCCAAACATAGTTTACGGGTTCATTAACCCTTTCAACTTCCAACACTAACTCCTTTCTACAATACCAATTGCAGCTCCGCATAGGGTTTAGGGTTTAGGGTTTAGGGACATATTTATACACCTTTGGTGACATCTGTGTGATTTCCATGTGTTTGTGCTGCTGCTGGTGCTTCTGCACGTGCAGCATCTTTCTTGTGTTATACATGAACCCAGAGCCTGAAGCTCCATACAACACACAGTGTCTGCAAGGTACGGCGTCCACGGCTGCTCATCTTGGACGAGGCACCTGAACAAGCTGTATAAGGTTCATGTGCTTACAGGGCTCGCAAGGTTTTAGGGCACAAGTTTTAGGGTCAGCTTCTGCATTTTCTGGCACTTTCAACGGACAAGTTCCTAGGTGCTTCGTAGTTACGAACTACGAAGACCTAACCTGAAACCCTAAACCCTTGGTCTGCGAGTTTTTTTGTCAGAAGTCGACGTATCTAGGTTCCGTCACTGGCTGGTTGGGCAGCCAGACGAGGGCCTGTTGATCTTTCAGCCATAAGCCCCAGACTTTCTCTCACGGTTTAGGGTTCAGAGTTTAGGGTTTTAGGGTTTAAGGTTTAGGGTTTAGGGTTTAGGGTTTAGGGTTTACGGTTTACGGTTCCCTAAACCCTTCTCACTCCTAATTCCTACACACGAGGCGACGTCAGCTCTTGACGGTGGGACAGAGGCGGCGGTGCAGGCTGCCAGGGTTTAGGGTTTAGGGTTTAGGGTTTAGGGTTTAGGGTTTAGGGTTTAGGGTTTAGGGTTTAGGGCTTAGGGCTTAGGGTTTAGGGTTTAGGGTTTAGGGTTTAGGGTTTAGGGTTTAGCAAACCAAGAAATGACAATCTGGTGGGCAAATTGTCAGTTATGGCTGGGGATTTTGTTTTGCTTTGCAACTGCCAGAATGTGGGCAAGTTTTTTCTTCTGCACTGTCCGTCAAGAAATGCACTTGACCACCGATATTAAGAAATAGCAATCTGGTGGGCATATTGCCATTTGTGGTGGGCAATGGGTTTTTGCACTGCCCGCCAAGAAATAGCAATTGCCCACCACAAAATTGAAGTTGCCCACCACTGTCTTTGTGGGCAATTGTTTTTCGGGTGTGTTTTGATTGCAAAATTGGTGGAATCTGGTGCGCCATCGTTTGTTGCCTTGCCCAGCAAGAAGCGACAGTTGCATACCAAGAGAAAAATTGCAAAACCCTGGTCATAAGGGTTTAAACATCTTTTGGGAAGAGAGGGTGCGGTATGCAGGACCCAGCTGCATTCGCAGCTTGTCGTTTGTCTTGGGCCTTCGGGTCTCAGGTGTTAGGGTTTGGGCGTATTTGCATGTGATTTTCAGAGCCATCTAGGGCGATAGGTGATCTTGGGCTTTCTTCTAGCTTGCTCTTTGGACTTTAACCTTCTCTGAAGAGCAAGTCAAGCGAACTTGCGCACAACTTGGTCGGCGCTCGCGCTTCCAAGCCCCAGCTTCGGAAACTTCCCCAGCTACCATCTCATCCTGTCCAAGGACCTTGAAATCCCCACAAAAGCCAGAGTATCTGGAGTGTTGTGAGTTCGAAGCCTTCAACAAAACATACCCCTGCCCATCCTCCGACTTTGCCCACGTGGTTTAGGGTTTAGGGCTGAAGGTTTAGGGTTTAGGGTTTACGGTTCATGGGGGGGGGGGGGGGGTGGGGGGGGAGGGTGGGGGGTGGGGGGGGGGGGGGGGGAGGGGGTGGGGGGGGAGGGGGGGGGGGGGGGGGGGGTGGGGGGGGAGGGGGTGGGGGGGGGGGGGGGCCTCAGTCTCGAGCTTCAAAAGATCCATCCAAAGCTGCATCGGCACTCTCTTGCTGGTTTCTGGTTCGCCTTAGCCTGAGCCAACACAAGGCTTCCATGAGATCTTGCCAGAGAAGGGGAATGTATGCTTGTAAGCTTAAAAGCCTAGGCTGTAAACACCCTAAACCCTGACCCTAAATCCAAGTTCTGAGGGTGGTCTTTGCAGATTCTAGTCCTCGTACAGAGGCCTTCTTCGTCTTCTATACGATAATTTAGGGTGTAGGGTTCAGGAGGTTTAGGTTTTTGTGTCTGGGGTAAACTTTGGGGGCCAGGGCTTAGGGTTTAGGGCTAGTTTTGGTTGCTAGGTTCTTGATTATCTGCCTCTGTGTGTGTGTGTGTGTGATGCTTACTTGCTATTTGCTGTATGTATGTAATGTTATGTAGGACAACCTTAAGTGCAGTTGCCTGCCAAACCCTAAACACTCAACCCTACTCATCTGCACCCGTAGAAGTCCCTTAGCATTGAAACCCCTCAACCGTAAACCCTTACCTATACCCAGACCCCTGGAAAGTCCGACAAGTAGAGCCCCCAAATAGTACTTCTGAAGAACCCTAAAGGGGATCTAGTTTTGGGATCCTCCCAGGGGTTCAGGGTTTAGGGTTTAGGGTTCAGGGTTAGGGTTAAGGGTTTAGGTTTTAGGGTTTAGGGGGGTCTTGGTAGATCATCCGAAGTCCTCAACCCGAAAAATAGCCCTAAATGGATGCGCCCACCCCGCCGCCATCTGAGAGGCTAGCGTGAACGCCTACCTGAAGCAAAGGCCAGAGTGGTTTGGGCTTTTGGGTTTTGGGTTTAGGGTTTAGGGCCCTAGGGTTAAGTAAGCCCTAAACCCTTAAACCTCATCCTATTCAGTCACTGCCGACAAAAGGGTCCCAAAAGAGGGGTTTCCCCTACACCCTAAACCGCAAACCGAAACCCTCTATAAAGTTCTTGTAAGCCTTATGAGATTATTCCTGTTCCGGCCGTTCTGCAAACCTGGCTAAGGCCTGAAGCCTCAAATCAAACCTAACCCTGAACCACAAACCCTAAACCCTAACAGGGGAGAGCTACCGCTGTAGGTAGGGTTTAGGGTTTCGGGTTTCGGGGTAGGCCGAAGTCGCCCTAAGCCCCGCAAAATCCCCCCCTCCCCCTCAGCCCTTAATACACAAGGGTTAAGGGCTTAGGGTTTAGGGATGTTTGTTTAGGGTTTAGGGTTTAGGGTTTAGGGCTTCGGGCCCTACACTTCAGTTCAACCGCAAACTCTCTGCTTCGCCTGGGCATCGCACTCTGACTTTATCTCGAATTCTAAGCCCCTACTTTGAGGTTCAGGGCACTTATAACCCAGCTATAAGCGTAGTTATAACCCGCTCAAAAGACCCTTAAGCACCCTGATACAGTCATAGCTGGGCTACTAAGTACAATGAACCTCCAAGTACTGGCTGCTTCCCGTTATAACCACGCTTATTAAAGGGTTCACATAGGGCACTACTTACCTCATTCCCTACTAAGAACCAGGGGGCCTATCCCCCAAACCCGCAACCTGAACCGCTGGAGCAAAATAGTAAACCCGGCACTAAACCCTAAACCCTTAACTCTACACTACACCAGCCCCCAGACCCCACAGCAGACCCACTAGGGTTTAGGGCTTCGGGTTTAGGGTTTAGGGTTCAGGGCTTACGGTGTAGGGCTGAGGGTTTAGGTTTTTGGGTTTAGGGTTTCAGGTTTGGGGACCCCACAGCCAAGGGATGGAGACTCGTACCCCTAAGGACTCGTACCCCTAAGGTTGTACCCCTAAAGGTTCCCCTTAAAATGCTCCTCATATGGCCCCTAGATTCACTTCGGGATCCTTACAAAGGGATCCCAAAACCCAAGGGTACACCTTAAGGGTCCAAGTAGGGTTTAGGGTTTGGGGTTTAGGGTTTAGGGTCTAGATACAGTCGACCCGAAACCCCCAGGTCTGCGTCATGCCTCGTCATCGCTCACCGCCTCAGCACCTGAGTAGCTGAGTGAGTACACTTTACACTTCTTGGGACACTATAGGTTTAGGGTTTAGGGTTTAGGGTTTAGGGTTTAGGGTTTAGGGTTATTCTCTACAAAAGTAAAAGTGTACACTTCTTCGGGGGCTTATGAACTCGGCAACTAAGGTACCGTCGAGGATGCGGACAAGATTGTCGTGCTTGACAAGGCGCTGCCTAAACCCTATGCCCTAAGCCCTAAACCCTACACCCCAAACCCTAAACCCTAAACCCCAAACCCTGAACCCTGTATGGTTCGTAGGATTTAGGATGTTGTTTTGGGGCTTAGTTCTTGGGGATACTAGGGTTGGGTTGCTTATGGGAACCCCGGGTCCCAAAAGCCCTTATTTAGGGAATAGCTCATGACCCTTTATTAGTTATAGGTTTAGGGCTTAGGATTTAGGATTTAGGGTTGAGGGTCTAGGGTTGAGGATGTAGGGTTTAGGGTTTAGGATTTGGGGTTCAGGGTTTAGGGCTTAGGGCTTAAGGTTTAGGGCATGAGGGAACCTACAAGGGTTCAGGGTTTGGTGCCTCCGACTGGGACATGTGCTTTTGTTGGGGGTTGTGTTTCCGTATAACCTGGGAGGTTCCCCTCTTATGCGAACAGTCCTTGGTGGGATTGTGACAGGGGGTATTGTATTCCCGATTAAGGACTGGTAGTATAAGGGGGAACGTCCCAGATCATAGCCCCCTTCAATGAAAGCAGGGCAGCACTTGCCATTTTTTAGGTTCTCTGGCTTATCGCTGGACCTTTCGTGTTGTTGACGCCTTTTCAGGAAAACAGGGCATGCTTGTTGTTCCTGAGTTTCTCTGGCTTACCGCTGGACCTTTTCACACCATCATGGTTTGCAGCGCGCAAAGTACATAAGTCTTCTCGGGTTATTACTGCAGGGGTTCTGGGCTCATAGGGCTTCTCGGGCTTACCGGGAACCCTTCGCCCAAGACCGTCTTAGCGTTTTATAAAGTCTGAGGTGTCGGAGGTCTGCGGAGACGTCTGTGGGGTATAGGGTTTCGAGGGCACGTCGGGCTGATGTTGTAGGGTTTCCAGGGCTTTGTAGGGGTCATTGTAGAGCTTAAGGGTTACACATGTCGTATATACATATATATATATATATATATATTTGTTTTTCTTTCTTTCTTTCATTTATTTATTCCCCACCCTCGGTGTGGGGTTGTTAGATTTTAAACTCAACTCTTCTCCTCGCCCGGAACTCTTCTCACCTCGCTCATCCCTGGAGTGCCCAACCCCAAAGTGGAGTGCTCCAGAGTCTCCCTGGAGTGCCCAACCTTAGATTCTCCCTGAAGTGATCAGAGTGTCCCCGGAGTGCCCAGCCCAAAGTCTCCCACACTGCCCATCCCTGTAGTGCGAGTCTCCCTGGAGTGCCCAACCCCAGAGTGTCCCCGGAGTGCCCAGGCCCAGAGTATCTCTACCAAGAGAGGGTGGGGATGTTCGAAGTAAAACAATTTATATTTCTATTTATATTTATAATGTCCTATTTGTATTCAAAAGGGTTTTCCGGGGCAGATCGGTCTGGGACAAGCTCGGTCCACTTTCTTTTGCTCAAATCGCAGGGCCCCAATCGGAAACTTCTGCACTTGCTGGGTAGTCTGAACCCATACACCTGAAATCAGATCTAAACCCTAAACCCTAAACCTTAAACCCAAGCTTTGTTTAGGGTCTTTCAGGGGTGTGGGGAGTTCAGGGGTTTAGGGTTTTCCGGATTTTAGGGTTTAGGGAATTTACGGGTTTAGTTTTGTTTTTTGCTGGCTGTGCCCGCCTGATCACATGTAGCATCAGCATTCTCTTTGAGTAGGCCCCAATTCTCAGCCTATAAGTCCAATAAAGATTCTTCTTCCTGCCCGAAACCCTCAGCCCAGTTTTACGTCATGGTGCCTTAGCGCTTAGGACCCGACAAAAAGGCACCTAAACCCTGAACCCTAAACCCTAAACCCTAGACCCTGAACCCTAAACCCTAAACCCTAAACCTTAAACCCTAAACCCTAAACCTTGACCCTAGAAAAGACTCCAGGGCAGGATTGCCGAGATGGGCACGCACAAGGCTGGAACAATTAGGTGTTGTTTAGGGTCTAGGGTTTAGGGTTTAGGGTTTAGGGTCTAGGGTCTAGGGTTTTAGAGCTCGTTTTTTCAGGTGACTTCGTTTTAGGGTCTAAGTGAGTATGAGGCTTCTGGGGTTGTTAGCGGGTTTGGAGTATTAAAGCAGAGGCTCCTGAGGGTCTAGGGTTTAGGGCAATCTGTCAGGAATATCCTACTGCAGAGCTGCTACATGTCATTTTGGGGGTTGCCATGGCGTTTCTTGCGCCCTCTGTAGCATCCCCCCCAAATCCCTCATCATTCCCAAAACACTAAACCCTAAACTCCCTTAACCCTACGACAAAACCTGGTTGAGAGCAACCTCTGGGCAAAGGGGTTGCACGGCCGAAGGGCTCGAGGCTTTTTACTTGGCTTTTGTGGGGTTTGGGGTTTGTGGTTTAATTGGAGGTTCAGGGTACTTGTAACCCAGCTATATAATGTGTAGTGATAACCCGCTTCTATTGAGTGATTACCCTAGTCGGGTTATAATTAGGTTAGAAGTACAGGTATTATTGGGCTACTAAGTACCATAGACCTCCAAGTGGGGGATTAATCAGTTTAGGGCACCCTAAACCCTAAACCCTAAATCCTAAAGCCTAAACCCTAAACCCTAAACCCTAAACCCTAAACCCTAAACCCTAAACCCTAAACCCTAAACCCTAAACCCTAAACCCTAAACCCTAAACCCTTTGCGGCCTTGGGTGTAGGGCTTGAGGCTCTTGCTTCGGAGTTTCAGTCACAGGGTTCATGGTTTATGGCTTCGTTTGGGATGTTCCCCCTTAGTAGGGATTATAGTACCCCTACTAGGATGCCCAGTAGTGCCCTTATTCCCTTTTTGGGGGCTCTAGGTTCCCCTATAAACCCCTTTTAAGCAAAAAAGGGCACCCGTTTTAATCCTAGGTTACTGGCAACCTAGCCTATCATAATCCCAATTAAGGACTGCTAGTATGAGGGGGAACATCCCAAGGTTTCGTGCTCGAGGGTCTAGGGTTCTGGGAATGGGGGCTTCCGGACTCAGACATCGAATTGAGTTTCGAGGTTGATCATGCAGGGTACAGAAGCTAAGGCTTCAGGGTACGGAGGTTGTTAGGTTTTAGGCATGTGGTTGAGGGTTCAGGGTCTAGAATTAGGGTTTAGGCTTTAGGCTTTAGGCTTTAGGCTTTGGGCTTTGGGCTTTGGGGTTTAGGAATGTTTGGCTGCTTGTACCTGACACTTGGTGGGCCTTGAGGGAGAGTACCATAACAGGCCATGATGAGCACTCAAGAAGAGCCTTGCGGGTTTAGGATGTGTTTTTTGAAACCCTAAACCCAAAACCCTAAACCCCAAACACTTCCTCCTGAAAGCCTCAACCTCTCACAGCGTTGGGAAAATTATCCCTCAGCAAGAAGGCTTAGGGTCCGGGGTTTAGGGTTTAGGGTTTAGGGGGGGTTTAGGGCTTAGGGTTTAGGGTTTGGGGTTTGGGGTTGGGTTTCTGGCGACCCAAAGCCGTAGTTCGCATGGCAAAGCAGAGTGTGTACCCTTCGAAGACCTTCTAAACCCGGCACTCAAAGTCACGTTAAAGCCCTACTCTAGGGGCCGTGATAGAAAGAACAGGGTTCAGGGGTTATTTTGGTCGAGCCATATCGGACTGTGAGTGAATACTCTTTGTAATTATTCCGACCCCGCTTCCAGCCCGACTGTCTGGTGTGAGGCACTCCTCAAAAAGAAGAATGGCATCTACTGGCAGATGGTCCCGCCCTCAGGAAGCAAAACCATGGCCGTGCGGCTGCACGTTCGAAACAAATCGCGTCCTGCACGAATGTGAATGAGCCTTGAGGTATCAGCCCAAACCCTGCACCCTAAACCCAAGATTCTACACCCTAAGCCCTAAACCGTAAGGTTCTGTAAGCATGTCTTATGCCTAGAGCCAGAGGGTTTCATTCCTTAGCCTCCTCTAAGCTGTCGTCAGGTCTATGGCAAGAGCCAAGCGGAGCGACTCCGATAGCAGAGTTGCGCGGGAGTTGCCGAAACTGCCAAGGGAGGGGCCTGAGCCCTGTAGGGTTTAGGGTTAATTAAGGGCTAAGCGCCATCAGGAGCTTTGTCGAAGTCCGAGTATGGCCATATGAGTTCTAGGTCTAAGTCAAGGTCTTAGCTGGAGTTTAGTAGGGTGCTACAACAGGCGCCACACATGTTTTGGAAACTCCCGCAGGCTGCTTTGCGGCGAAGATGGAAAATGGGCTTGCTTCTTGGGTACTCAGAACATCTGCAGAGTTCCGAAGTGTTCTCCTCTGATGTCAATGTGCATAATGTAGGGTCCTTAATAATTAGAGTAGGGTTTTTTGGGGTTGTTATGGCATGTGTATAAGAGGACCCAGTATTTATTCCGACCGCTATGGTAGGTACCGGTATCTACCCCCCTTCACCAAACTGGCGCTTGCTTCAAACTGCTCCCCCCAACCCTAGAACTCTGAATGTTAATGTGACTGACGGGCTGCAACCAAAAAAAAATCAAAACCGAGACCGTTTACTTCAGGAACCTACATACTTGCCAACAACATTCCATTCTTTGGGCTTGAGGTTAACCGAGACCCCTTACAAGGACTCACCTAGACTAAGCCACGATTGACCTGTTTCGATGTTTTTTCGATAGTGTTTGTGGTTTTGGGTATAGGGTATAGGGTTTTGGGATACTTGAATTTTAAACTTTTTCGGCTTCTTTTCGGAAAAGTTTAGCCTGTGTGTTCCTTCGTTGTTGGAGAAGTCATGTATGTTGTTTTCGGTGCATGTCTAGTATAGGCCGCGCAGTGAGCACACGTAGAAGTACCCTAAATGCAGGTATAGCCATAGTTAACCTAAACTCTAAACTCTAAACCCTAAACCCTAAGCCCTAAACCCTACTGAGTACCCATGAACCTCCAAGTTGGACATATGACCTGTGGACCTCCAGGGACGGGGGTGTCAAGTCCAACCCCAAAATCCGACAACATGAGGGTTTAGGGTTTAGGGTTTGGGGTTTGGGGTTTAGGGTTTAGGGTTTAGGGATAGCTAAAAGCCCTAAACCTGAATCTTAGCCTTGCTGATAGGTACCCATGAACCTTCAAGTACCAGCCGGTAGGTTGGCGCGGGCGTCGCTTCTCTGTTCTCTGCTTGGGCGACGTCTTGGCCTGAACAGCGACATGGCTCAAGGAACCCATGACACCCCTAAGCCCCTAAACCCTTAAGACCTAAACCCTAAACCCTAAACCCTTTGGCAAAGGCGTAGGGTTTAAAGTTTGGGGTTTCGGGTCTTCTAACACGCGAAACCCTTCCAGGGACGGAGGAAGGGCGTGGTTTAGGGATCTAAGGGTTTAGGGTTGTAGTTTTAGGGCTTTTGGGCTTCAGAGTTCCAGGGCTCTAGGGCTTTAGGCTTTTCGGGGTTTTAGGGTTGTAGTGGTTTAGGGCTTTAAGGTTTTGGGGTTTTAGGGTGTTTGGGTTTTGGGGTGTTTAGGAATCAGGGTTTAGGGTTTAGGGTATATGGCTTGAGGCTGCTAAGGTGCCAGCTCAATTTGAGTTATGGGGCATCAGGGTTAGTTTAGGGTATAGGCTTAAGCCCTAGTAGCCTAAATTTAATTAGCTGCTACTTCCTCAGAACTTGGAGAGCCCCAGCCAAGGCCCATCCGCGAAGAGGTGCACCCTGCGTCGTTCAGGGCCCTAAAATTGGGGTCATATACCCTGACGACTATAATTCGCATTTAGGATATGAGCTATAAACCCTAAACCCTAAACCCCAAACCCTAAACCCTGTTAGGGTTCATTTAGTCCCCAAGGTGCGGGTTCCTCGTATTAAGGTAGATGGACCATAACCCCTTTTAGGGTTCATGTCGTCCCCCAGGTATGAGCAACTACAACTTACCCCGTCATGACCAATAGGCCTTACAGCGCTACAAGATCAATAGCACGGAATAAAGACTCCCCCCAAAAAACAAAGAGGTTGAGGTCACAAGGTCACAAGGGGTTAAGGGTTTGGGCCCCTGCCGCCTGCCCCTCACGGTTGGAACCATGCGTCCCCTGTTCCTCTTAAAACAGCTCCCAAGAATTCATGTTGAAAGGCGCGCCGCCCGAAATGTTCTTGAGACGCACTAGTAAGTTCCATGTTGCATGTGCTACTTGCAACCAGAAAAGTTGTCCCCTGGCTGCAACTCGGGAGTTTACGAAAATCAGGGACCCCTGATGTAGACCCGCCAAAGTAGGATTCCCGTAGCATCGAAATAAGGGGCCCCTGATGTATAATAAGAAAGGACCCTAATAAGGTACCCCTAATTTCGGAAGTGCCCAGATCGGTCACCCTTTAGGGTTTAGAATTTGGGTTTAGGGTTTAGGGTTTAGGGTTTAGGGTTTAGGGTTTAGGGTTTAGGGTTTAGGGTTTAGGGTTTAGGGTTTAGGGTTTGGTTCAGAGCTCCCAAGTTGCCAACAGTTTGGTGATTCTAAGGTTTAGGATCCAGTGGGTTCAGTGGGTTTCAGGTTTACGGTTTAGGATCCCTAAACCCTAAACCCTAAACCCTAAACCCTAAACCCTAAACCCTCTTTTAAAGGGTTCTGAAGTATGGGCCCCTTGGGTTGTACTGGGGGAAGAAATGGTGAATATTTCGGGGTCCCCTTCGAAGGGGCCCATGTTAAGGGACCGTCGGTTTAGGGTTAGGGTTTAGGGTTTAGGGTTTAGGGTTTAGGGTTTAGGGCTTGAGGGAGGGTACGAGAATCACGTCCAGGCCAAACCGACTCCATCGAACTGTCCCCGGCCTCGCACCCAGCAAGAGACCGCTGAGCCCTTCACTCAATAGCCGGCCTTAAGTAGGCTGTTTAGGGTTTAGAGTTTATATAGGGTTTAGGGTTTTGGGTTTAGGGTTTAGGGTTTGGGGCTCAGGGCTTAGGGTTCCGAATTTAGGATACAGGGTTACCCTGAACCACATAGCCGACCTTATGAAGTAGCTTCAGGGTTTGTAGGGTGCAGGATCCGACCCGACCATGCTAAATCCTTGGCCCAAGGCGCCAGCTGTCCACGTTTCGCATAGGGTGAAATTAGGGTTCAGCGCTTGGCATTGTCATGTAGGCTTCGAGCCTAGAAAAGGTGCTTGAGAACTGTTTTTGAGGAATTTGCATGTTGGGAAGCGTTTCAGAAGATCATGACCACCCACGGCTCAAAAAGCTGTTTGCTGCTGCTAGCACCCCAAAAGACTTCACAAGACCTGATCTCTACTAAACCCTAAACCCTAAACCCTAAACCCTAAACCCTAAACCCTAAACCCTAAACCCTAAACCCTAAACCCTAAACCCTAAACCCTAAACCCTAAACCCTAAACCCTAAACCCTAAACCCTAAACCGAACCCTAAACCCTAAACCCTAAACCCTAAACCCTAACCCTAAACCCTAAACCCTAAACCCTAAACCCTAAACCGTAAATAATTGAGTCGACAGTTGGCTTCTCCTGCCCAGGTGTGGCAAAGCCATGCCCGACACTGTGGGCGCCAACTTTTGCCGACACTGCCGCTTTGTCGTGGCATAGGCTGGCTGGGGGGGGGGGTAGGGTTTAGGGTTTAGGGTTTAGGGTTAGGGTTTAGGGTTTAGGGTTAGGGTTTAGGGTTTTAGGATTTTAGGGTTTAGGGTTTAGGTTTAGGGTGGGCTGCTCGACAAGCTCACGAAGTTGATTTGAGGGGGGGGGGGGGGGGGGGGGAGTTGGGGAAAGTTGGAACTCCTAAACAAACATTGGAACCCCAAGGCCTAAACACCCACGACCAAGGAGAGACCGGAAATACCTCTAGGGCTAGATTTTATAGATTGCTCTTGGCGCTGGCCAGTGTGCCTATGAAGGCTTACCGTTGGTCACGCGCGCTGGGCAACTGGTATTGGGCCGTTCTTATTTTCGCTTGGGTTCTTGTGGAGGAGGGGGGGGAGTGGGGGGAGGAGTGGGAGTGGGGGGTGGGGGAGGTTGGGGGGGAGGGGGTGGGGGAGGCGGTGGGCATGGGGGTCGGGGGGGAGGAGGTGAACCCGACCTCTTCCCAAACCCTAAACACCAACAGAGGAATGTGTATGTGTTTGTTTGTGGTGTGTTGTGTGTGTGGGTGTGGGTTGCTTGTGCGTGTGCTGTTCGTGTGCGTGTGCGTGCGCGTGCCGCGGTGGGCGTGTGTGCGTGTGCGCGTGTGCGTGCCCGCACGCGCGCACGCACTCGCAGCGCGCCAGCGCCGCTCGCGCGAGCGAGCGCGCGATCGAGCGAGCGAGCGAGCGAGCTGAGCGAGCGTGCGTGTCGTGCGTTGCGTGCGTGCGTCTGCTTGCGGTGCGTGCGTGCGTGGGCGCGTGCGTGCGTGCGTGCGTGGCGTGCGTGCTGCGTGCGTTCGTGCGTGCGGCGTGCGTGTCGGTGCGTGCGTGCGTTGGTGTGTGTGTGTGTGTGTGGTGTGTGTGTGGTGTGTGTGGGTGTGGGTGTGTTTGTGTGTCCCTGTGGGTGTGTGGTTGTGTGTGTGTGTGTCTGGGTGTCTGGGTTCTGTGTGTGTGGTGTGTGTGTCGTGTGTGTCTCTTCTGTGTGTGTTTGTGTGTGTGTGTGTGTGTCTGTGTCTGTGTGTGTGTGTGTGTGTGTGTCCTGTGTGTGTGTGTGTGTGTCTGTGTCTGTGTGTAGTGTGTGTGTGGGTGTTGTGTGTTGTCTGTGTGTGTGTGTTTGTGGTTGTCGTGTGTGTGTGTGTGTTTGTGTGGTCTCTGTGTGTGTGGTGTTGTGTCTCTGTGTGTGTGTGTGTGTGTCCTCTGTGTGTGTGTGTGTGTGTGTGTTGGTGTTTTGTGTTCTGTGTGTGTGTGTGTGTGTCTCTGTGTGTGTGTGTGTGTCTCTGTGTGTGTGTGTGTGTGTGTGTGTGTGTGTTTTTTCATGTTTTGCAATTCACGTATCATAGGTATTATATGCTTCACGCGACTTCTATTTCTTATATATGTTGTCATTCCCCACACTCGGTGTGGGGTCCTGGAGTGGTGCCCATGAAGTGCCCAACCCCAGAGTGTCCCCACAGTGCCCAGCCCCAGAGTCTCCCTGGAGCGTCTAACCCAGAGAGTGCCCAACCCCAGACTGTCCCCGGAGTGCCCAGCCCCAGACTGTCCCTGGAGTGCCCAACCCCAGAGTATCTCTACCAAGAGAGAGGGCCGGGATGTTCGAAGTAAAATAGTTCATTTACTATGTGTCCTCCGTGTTTTACGTGCATTGTATCTGTGATATGTACTGTATGACTGTATGTGTTATATTTATTCAAACGCGTTATATGTGCTAGCCTGCTCCTCCAGTTCTAGGCCTAAACCCTAAACCCTAAACCCTAAACCCTAAACCCTAAACCCTAAACCCTAAACCCTAAACCCTAAACCCTAAACCCTAAACCCGACCGGCCCTCACTGAAACAGGGGTTCCTAGAAAGTCAAAAAAGCACCTCGAAAGCCTTATACCGACCCCGGGCCTCCGAGCTCCGACAGGGTTCAGGGTTTGGAGTTTAGGGTTTAGGGTTTGGGGTTTAGGGTTTAGGGTTTAGAGTTTAGGCTGTCGGGTTTGGGGTTCTGGGGTTTGGGGTTTGGGGTTTAAGGTTTCGCGACTCGAGTTTCGGGGTCAGAGCCTTCAGGGTAGGGTTGTGGGTTTGGGGGGTTGGGGGGTTGCCACTTGATGTTCTTCAACTGTTGGAGCAACCAGGCCTAAGCCCTAAACCCGACACAGGGCTTGGCAGACTTTCTCTGAAAGCACGATTATAGGTTTACAGGCAGGTTAACAGGAGCTGGGCTACCAACCTCGAACCCTGAACACTTGTTTCCTTTTGCTTATAGTTCTTAAGGTTCGGTTTGAGGGTTCTATACAGAGCCCAAGCGACAATCAGCAACAATATCAGTCTTGTAAGAAGTTGGATGGAAACCTACAGCCGTCATTTATATCCAGCAGCTGGTCCTGCCCTCAGGCTGTTTCATCGATCGCTTTCATCGCGCTCCCTCAGGAAAACAGCGTTCATGCGGACCTGATGACTAATTGCATCAGGATTGCTTCGCTCTAAACCCTAAGCCCTAAACCCTAAACCCTAAACCCCACTCAGAGAGCCTTGATGCCAGTGTCTCCGACATCGCCTATGCCAAAAATATGATTCAACGAACCTTCAATGGGCGTAAAGTAGGGGTTAAGAGTTCGGGGTGTGGCCTAGGTCCTTCATTGGGCCTAATCCTAAAGCTTTGTCTCACAAAGCCTTCCGACATGATTTCAATATGGGGATTTCCCAACATAGTTGAATACCCCAAGTAGACTAGGATCCCCTTAAAGGGGGGTACCCCCTCCCCCCCCCCCCAATTTCGGAAGCCTCCGTAGAATCAAATGCACAACTTTCCTTGTTCGCAGGCTCTGCGCCGCCCTCGATACTCAACAGGGTTTAGGGTTTTGGGTTTTGGGTTTAGGGTAGAAAGCCAGTAATTTCGATTGTGCTGGATACAAGCAACCCCTAATATAAAAATATAAACCCCCGACATGGCCAACTCCCCTTAGAAGAAGGACCCTAAACCCCAAAAGCGCTAACAACCAACAACAAGATCCTAAGCAATCCCTAAACACCTCTAAAGCCCTACACACCACAAACCCTAATTTCGGAACCCCCCCTCCTGCCCTCCCCCCCCCCATGGCAAGCCCAGGCGTGCTGAAGCGACTTTTTAGAGCTTCACGGCTTGGCACTGACTTAAGGGGTTCGGGTTGGGATGCTCCCCCTGATTCTTGAAGCCCTTAATGGGGATGATAGTACACCCCCCCCCCCCCCCCCCCCTATCAGACCTATCAGCCATTAAGGACTGCTCACATAAGGGGGAACATTTCCAGATTTCCAGGTTCAGGGCTCATGGGCTTCTAAGACGTTTCGGGGCGTACCTTGGGTGATTTGGGATCTTGGGGCCTGGAGCCGAGCCCAGAATGGGCAACCCTAAACCCTAAACCCTAAACCCTAAACCCTAAACCCTAAACCCTCCTATATCGTGCTCCCTTGACTGCCATGATTCAGGTTGTTTTTTTTTTTTGGGGGGGGGGGGGGGGGGGGTTGTCCCCAGCTTTTTTTGCGCGAGCTTTTTTCGTTTGGCTCCTACCCGCTCTTGTCGCTTGGGGGCCCTCCTCGCAGTTGCCTGCCACTGAGGTGTTCGGAAGGTAATTTGTTTCCTCTGGGTTTCGTAGGGGTTTGGGTTTAGGGTTTTGGGGTTTAGTGTTTTAGGGTTTAGGGTTTGGAGTTTGGGGTTTAGGGTTTTAGGGTTTCGGGTTTAGGGTGAGGGGGTCTACTGGTTCGGGGGGCCTCAGGGGTTTCGGGTTCTGCCTCCGTGGCAACTGCAGCAGGGGGGGGACTCACAAAGATTCGTGCCTCGCCATGGCGCTGCGCGGGAAGAGCGTGGAGGAGTGGAGAGATTTGGGGATTCCATGTAGAGGACCCCTAAAATCGACCCCCGGATAGTAGAATTCGCTTACAAAAAGAACCCCCACAAGGTACCCCTAATATCGTAAACTCCCATGTACCCTTTCCCCTTTTTTGGTTCAATGTCCCCTAGTGCAGTAACCAAGCCGAAAAAGGGTGCCCTTATTATAGTATGGGTACTGGGCTACCAAGTTATTGCGTCATGGAGTTGGGTTCCAAAAGCCTTGTTGTTTGTGTGTGGCTTTTCGGTACCTATAATTATCCTTCTATGATAAGCCCTATGAAGGTCTGTTAGTATAAGGGGGAACATCGAGCAAGTAGGCACTGGGAGTGTGTCGGAGGTCTTGGGCATCCTTCCTTGAATTCTGGCCCAAAACCCTGGTTTAGGGTTTCGGGTTGAGGGTTTACCAAAGCCCCTAAACCCTGGACCTACCGGTCGCAGCACTTGGCAGCCGAGTTATCAGCTTATCAACACAGTACAGTGACTTCGGTCAGTTCTTTGATTTTTCGTTTTTTTTTGTTGTTTTGGCCCTGTATGGAGCCTACCATTTGGGATAGCTTAGAAGCTCGTTTTGAGGCTTTGAGGTTGTTGACAGGGTCCAGACCTTGCCCTAAGCTTAAACCCAAAACCCTAAGCCCTAAGCCCCAAACCCTATGTAACTCCCCCCCGGTAACAGGAGCTGCTCTCAATCCAGTCGGCTGCCCTGCGACAGCTTTTGGCAGTGAATGAGGTGCCGGCGGTTTGTTGTCCTTTCCGGGGTGTAGGGTTTAGGGTTTAGGGTTTAGGGTTTAGGGTTTAGGGTTTAGGGTTTAAGGTTTGGGAACCTCAGAGCCTCCACAAAACTGCCTTAAGACATTCTCTCTACACACCTCACCCGACATTTCTGTCCCAGACGGATGCTGCACTCCGCGCTGCGCACGCCGGACCTTCACCTACATATTCATATATATATATATATGTATATTTACATTTACATCTACATTTACATTTACATATTCACATACATACACACACACACATATATATATATTACATGTATGTATATACGTAATGTAATGGAATGTACTTAATGTACTGTAATGCAATATAATGTACTGTAATGTAATGTACTGTAATGTAATGTAATGTGATGTAATGTAATGTGATGTAATGTAATGTAATGTAATGTAATGTAATGTATGCATGGATGGATGTAAGTAAGTATGTATGTATGTATATGTATATGTATATGTATATGTATATGTATATGTATATGTATATGTATATGTATATGTATATGTACATGTATACATATACATAGACATAGACATAGACATAGACATAGACATATTAAAGCACATGTGTATATATATATATATATATATACGTATATATCATTGCGGGTTTTAGGGTTTAGTTTCGGGTTTAGGGTTTAAGCCTCAAAACCGGAAGCCCCTAATCCCTGCGACCCTGCTCGCCTAATATCCTCATACCCCAAAGTCACTCTAAGCCCCATTCCCCTCAAACCTTAATGAACCCCAAGTCCAAAAGCCCGAAGCACCAAAACCCCATACTCTCAGCCCTTATCCCTAAACCCTGACCCTAAACCCTAAACCCTAAATTTTAGGCCAACAGCCCTGAGCCCCCCCAAACCCTAAAGCCCTAATCCCTCAAGCACATAAAGCCTTCATAAACCCGGCAGTTTTGTCGCCCTAAAGCCCAGAATCCGGACTCCCTGTCGTGACACACTCTGGGCTCCGAAAGTTAAAAAGAGAGTTCCTGGTGACGTCTCGAACACTTGTATTGTTTGGAACCCTTTGGGCCACCCTAAACCCTAAACCTTAAATCCCTGAACACTAAACCCTCAACTAAACTACCCATCACGTTTTCACTTGAAGCGTACTTACAATCGGGGTTGCGAGTACCCTCTAAATAAGGTTATAACCATACGTGCCTCACGTACAATCCTACTTATAAGTACCCATGAACCTCCGAGCAGAGCTTGTGGGGTGCGTGGACACCTACCAGGCCCTCGCCGAAGCTCACGCCGTGAAGGCTTTGGAAAGGGCGTAGGCTGAACCCTAATCCCTGAGGCCCTAAACCCCAAACCCTAAACCCTAAACCCCTGAGGCCCTAAACCCCAAACCCTAAACTCTAAGCCCGAAGCAAGGCTTCGGGCAGTCTACTCCTAGTTCCAAAACTTCGGGTTTCCTTCGGGGTACTTGGGGACTACTTTTCATTTTGGGATACCACAACTCCTAGCAAACAATTTTTTGCCTGGGTTCCAAGTTCGGTATAGTTTCGGGTTTTCGACTTTAGCGCTTCGCGTGCCTTCTTCCTTTTGGGTGTCTTGCGCTTGACTCCCTAAACCCTAAACCCTAAACCCTAAACCCTAAACCCTAAACCCTAAACCCTAAACCCTAAACTACCTATAGGCAGTCGCAGCTGGTCGCAGAACTTTGATCGAGGGTTCCGCTTGTAGTAATTTTGCGGACCGTTTCGGGTTAGGGTTCAGGGTTTAGTGGTTTAGGGTGTAGGGTTTAGGGTTTAGGGTCTAGGGTTTAGGGTTTAGGCTATTTATCACATTGTGTATCTTAAGAGGTTTTAGTTTGCAGCAACTTTCAAAAGTGTTCCAGCCTAAGCAGCACTATTCTGGCTACATGCTTATACTTAGTCACTTGGCTGGAGGCCCTAAACCCCAAACCCCAAACCCTAATCCCTAAACCCCAAACCCCAAACCCTAAACCCTAAACCCCAAACCCCTAGACGCGAAGCTTTCGGAGAGACCGCCAGTGGAACTCTCTCACTCCAGTAAACGACACCCCAACAAACCTGACCCTAAACCCTAAACCCTAAACCCTAAACCCTAAACCCTAGACCTTCTGTCACTGAAGGTGGGGTATACTTATCAGTAGGGTTTTTAGTCCCCTTAAATAAGGTTTTCAGCATAGTTACCCTACAACCACACTTTTAAACCCTAAACCCTAATCCCTAATTCCTCATCCCCTAAGGTTCAGGTTCGTGAAGCTGTCTTTCCCTGAGGACGGCCTCAAGAAAGAAGTCGCAATCCCCGAGATCGAAGTTGCCAAAACGTCCTCGAATGCTACCGCCGATGATCCTCGATTGGTTTTAAACCCTAAACCATAAACCCCAAACCCTAAATCCCAGACCCCAAACCCTAAACCTTAAACCCTAAACCCTAAACCCTAAACCCTAAGCCCTAAGCCCTAAGCCCTAAACCAAAACCCTAAAGGTCCATAAACCCTTACACCCTAGATCCTCTACGCCCTAAACGCGCTCTGGGGCAAGCATCGACACCCTGGAACCCCAGACCCTATACCCTAGACCCTAAACGCCAAGCCCTCAACCCTCAACCCCAAGCCCTCAACCCAAAACCCTAAGCCCCAAACCCTGAACCCTAAACCCCAAATCCGGAAACCTAAGCCCTCAACCCTAAACCACAAACCCTAACCCCAAACCCCACACCCAAAAAACACCCTTAACCCCAAACCCTAAGCCCCACACCCCAAACCCAGACACCAGACCCTAAGCCCTAAACCCCAAACCGCAAACCCCAAACCCTAAACCCCAAGTCCCAAACCCCAAACCCTAAACCCTAAACCCCAAACCCCAAGCCCTAAACCCCAAACCCTAAACCCTAAACCCAAACCCTAAACCCCAAACCCTAAACCTGTCTGAGGATGTGAAGCAGAGGGCCAGCCTCAAGGATTACCCGCTGCTTCCTTCGGGCCGAAAACACTCCGCATGAAAGGGTTAAGGTTTAGGGTTTCAGGTTTGGGATTTGGGGTTTAAGGTCTGGGGTTTAGGGTTTAGGGTTTAGATTTTGGGGCTTAGGGTGTAGGGTTTGGGGTTTAGGGTCTAGGGGAAAGGGTTTAGGGTCTAGGGTTTAGTGTTCAAGGGTTCAAGGGTGTAGGGTTTTAGGGGTTCAAGGGTACAGAGTTTAGGGTTTCGGGGTTCACTGGGTTCCCAGTGAGTAAGGGTTAGGGTTTCGGGCTAAGGGTTAAGAGTTTAGGGGTCCAAGGGTGTAAGGATGCAGCGTTCGGGACAGAGCGTCTGAGTGAGGTTTAGGGGCTTAGGGCTTAGGGCTTAGGGCTTCGGGTTTAGGGTTTAGGGTTTAGGGTTTAGGGCTGGGATTTAGGGGAAGCCCGGAAACATCCTCCTCTAAAGTCCGAAGATCTGAGTAGCATGTGTAAGCACACCCTAAACCCTGCACCCTAAACCCTCAACCCTGGTAACCCTGAACCCTAAACCCTAAACCCGAAACCCGACGCCGCAACCTACAGGATTGAGCCCTAGGTCCGAAACGCGAACCCCCCACGCCCGTCATCCAAAACCCTATATCACATCCAAAGCCCTATATCACCCACAAACACCCTAAACCAGGGTTGAGGGTTTCGGGTTTAGGGTTTAGGGTTACCCCACACCCCTATCCTGGGTCCTGGACCACCTGTATGTCTCCGATCGGGGTACCCGGTCCCGTTAAGGGGGTTCTATTCTACTTGGGGTACACCGGGTACAAAATGGGTACAGTGACAGCACTGGATAAGAAACCTCTAAGTTTTGGCGAAGGTACCCTCGGTTTCTTCATTATGAAGCCCACTCAATGTCCGGAATTATAGCCTCCGCACTTTTGAGGGTACCCTCGGTTTCTTAACGAATTTCTTACCGGGATTCGAACTGGCAACGTGTCAATTACTAAGGCGACGCCTTATCCATTAGGCTGATCGCTCAAGTTCTTTATTGGGGGCCCCCTCAAATCGGCAATCCGGCCTCTCGAATCCTTAACCTCAATTTCTTGATTTGAGGGTTTTGGCGTCCCGCCCCACCCACCGCCCCCCCCCCCCCCCCCCCGTGTGAAATTCTTAATTTTCGGCCCCGCACCCCACCAAAATAAGAAATCCAGCCCCTCGATTTCTGAAATTTAAGAAATCCAGCCCCTCGATTTCTGAAATTTAAGAAATCCAGCCCCTCGATTTCTTAAATTTAAGAAATCCAGCCCCTCGATTTCTTAAATTCAAGAAATCCAGCCCCTCAATTTCTTAGATTTAAGAAATCCAGTCCCTCGATTTCTTAAATTTGGGGTCCAGCCCAATTCCCCCCCTCAAATTAAGAAATCCAGCCTAAATTGGAGGGTTTTGGCCTTAAATTTAAGAAATCGAGGGGCTGAGTTTCTTATTTGAGGGGGGGGGAGACTTTTCATTCGGCGGTTGCCAAAAACGACCAAATTTAAGAAATTTAGGGCCCAGGATGAGGGTACCCTCGATTTCTTAATTTAGTCTTGCTCTCAAGTTTGGCATTTTTAATCCGGGATCCAGCTGCGAGCATGCTCGTTTCTAAATCCAATGATTTCTTAATCAGTGCTGTCACTGTACCCCTACTGGGGAAATCCCCAGTATGAGTTTCTTCGTTTTTCTTGGTTTCACGACCTATTTGTGGGCAAGGTGGGGTCATACGTTTGAGTTTCAAGAGCAAGTCTGTCGTCATTCAGCCTTGACACTGCGGCGTAGAGCAGGTGTTTGCCGTGCAGCAAGGCATCTCCATAAGCAAGCTCCGTGGCAGAAGGAAGCATACTAGAGACATGCCCGAAGTACAGCGCCGAGTGCATTGGTGCTTGAATATGGGCTGGCTTGGTTCGGCTGGCTCTGGTTTGGCTCGTTCTGAGTCGTGCCTGGGCAGTCTTGGTGTGGGCATGTGTGCACACTATCGCGTTCAGCAAGCCAATGCTACACCCTAAACCCTAAGTCCTAAACCCTAAGCCCGAAGCCACCCTAATATCCAAAACCCTAAAACACCAAGCCCTGAACCCCAAACCGCCCCAAATATCCTGCAAACCCCGTAATATCGCCTTCATCGGGAGTAAAGTACCCCCGATAAAATAATCCCTACTAAGGGCTGCTATAGTATAAGGGGGAACATCCCCGAAACCCCAAACCCTAAACCCTAAACCCTAAACCCTAAACCCTAAACCCTAAATGAGCGGTGGTGGGCGGGGCTTCGCGCCCCCGCCCACCGAACCCGCTGCCTTTTCGGCTTCTGAAGGCATTCGCACAGACAGAGCACTTGCCACGTGGTCAAACACTGTCGCACTGTAACGTTTCGGCCGTGCCATCGCTAAGCATTGGGTCGAAGGCAGTACTGCCTATATATAATATAAACCCCAAAAGCTGTGGTAGGCCCAAAAACCTGTACCCAAATCCTAAACGACGAGGGTTTAGGAATAGGGTTTAGGGCCTAAATCCTAAACGACGAGGGTTTAGCGACGAGGGTTTAGGGCTAATTCTTAAACACCGAGGGTTTAGCGCCGAGGGTTTGGGGCCTAAATCCTAAACGACGAGGGTTTAGGGGCCTAAATCCTAAACGACGAGGGTTTAGGGCTAAATCCTAAACGACGAGGGTTTAGCGACGAGGGTTTGGGGCCTAAATCCTAAACGACGAGGGTTTAGGGGCCTAAATCCTAAACGACGAGGGTTTAGCGACGAGGGTTTAGGGCCTAAATCCTAAACGACGAGGGTTTAGGGCCTAAATCCTAAACGACGAGGGTTTAGCAACGAGGGTTTAGGGACGAGGGTTAGAGCTCAGAAATCTGGAAAGTTGGGGGGTCATTTCCGCCATATGAATTCTGTACTAAAACATCTTACGAATCGACCACTTTCCGGCCGATCCTGGGGCACCCCCCATGGGGGCCTAAATCCTATTCGCTAAATCCTACAGCGACGAGGGTTTAGGGCCTAAGTCCTAAACGACGAGGGTTTGGCGACGAGGGTTTAGGGCTAAATCCTACAGCGACGAGGGTTTAGGGCCTAAATCCTAAACGACGAGGGTTTAGCGACGAGGGTTTAGGGCTAAATCCTAAACGACGAGGGTTAGGGCCTAAATCCTAAACGACGAGTGTTTAGAGCTCAGAAATCTGGAAAATTGGGGGGTCATTTCCGCCATATGAATTCTGTGCTAAAACATCTTACGAATCGACCACTTTCCGGCCGATCCTGGGTTACTCCCCATGGGGGCTTAAATCCTATTCGCTAAATCCTACAGCGACGAGGGTTTAGGGCCTAAATCCTAAACGACGAGGGTTTAGCGGGGCTAAATCCTAAACGACGAGGGTTTAGCGACGAGGGTTTAGGGCCTAAATCCTAAACGACAAGGGTTTAGGGGCCTAAACCCTAAGCGACGAGGGTTTAGGGCCTAAATCCTAAACGAGGAGGGTTTGGAGCTCAGAAATCTGGAAAATTGGTGGGTCATTTCCACCATATGAATTCTACACTAAAACATCTTACGAATCGACCACTTTCCGGCCGATCCTGGGGTACCCCCAATACAGCGACGAGGGTTTAGGGCCTAAATCCTAAACAACGAGGGTCTAGCGACGAGGATTTAGCGCTAAATCCTAAACGACGAGGGTTTAGGTCCTAAATCCTAAACGACGAGGGTTTAGTGACGAGGGTTTAGGGCTAAAACCTAAACGACGAGGGTTTAGCGACGAGGGGGTTTAGGGCCTAAATCCTAAACGACGAGGGTTTAGGGACTTAAATCCTAAACGACGAGGGTTTGGCGACGAGGGTTTAGGGCCTAAATCCTAAACGACGAGGGTTTAGGGCTTAAATCCTAAACGACGAGGGTTTAGCAACGAGGGTTTAGGGACGAGGGTTTAAAGCTCAGAAATCTGGAAAATTGGGGGGTCATTTCCGCCATATGAATTCTGTACTAAAACATCTTACGAATCGACCACTTTCCGGCCGATCCTGGGGCACCCCCCATGGGGGCCTAAATCCTATTCGCTAAATCCTACAGCGACGAGGGTTTAGACCCTAAATCCTAAACGACGAGGGTTTAGCGACGAGGGTTTAAGGCTAAATCCTAAACGACGAGGGTTTAGGGCCTAAATCCTAAACGACGAGGGTTTAGCGACGAGGGTTTAGGGCTAAATCCTAAACGACGAGGGTTTAGGGCCTAAATCCTAAACGACGAGGGTTTAGGGCCTAAATCCTAAGTGACGAGGGTTTAGGGCCTAAATCCTAAACGACGAGTGTTTAGAGCTCAGAAAGAAAATTGGGGTGTCATTTCCGCCATATGAATTCTGTACTAAAGCATCTTACGAATCGACCACTTTCCGGCCGATCCTGGGGTACTCCCCATGGGGGGCTTAAATCCTATTTGCTAAATCCTACAGCGACGAGGGTTTAGGGCCTAAATCCTAAACGACGAGGGTTTAGCGACGAGGGTTTAGGGCTAAATCCTAAACGACGAGGGTTTAGGGCCTAAATCCTAAACGACGAGGGTTTAGCGACGAGGGTTTAGGGCTAAATCCTAAACGACGAAGGTTCAGCGACGAGGGTGTAGGGCCTAAATCCTAAACGACGAGGGTTTAGGGGCCTAAATCCTAAACGACGAGGGTTTAGCGACGAGGGTTTAGGGCCTAAATCCTAAACGACGAGGGTTTAGAACCTAAATCCTAAACGACGAGGGTTTAGCAACAAGGGTTTAGGGACGAGGGTTTAAAGCTCAGAAATCTGGAAAATTGGGGGGCCATTTCCGCCATATGAATTCTGTACGAAAACATCTTATGAATCGACAACTTTCCGGCCGATCCTGGGGTACCTTCATGGGGGCCTAAATCCTATTCGCGAAATCCCACAGCGACGAGGGTTTAGGGCCTAAATCATAAGCGACGAGGTTTAGCTACGAGGGTTTAGGGCTAAATCCTAAACGACGAGGGTTTAGGGCTTAAATCCTAAACGACGAGGGTTTTGCGAGGAGGGTTTAGGGCTAAATCCTAAACGACGAGGGTTTAGCGACGAGGATTTAGGGCCTAAATCCTAAACGACGAGGGTTTAGGGGCCTAAATCCTAAGCGACGAGGGTTTAGGGCCTAAATCCTAAACGACGAGGGTTTAGAGCTCAGAAATCTGGAAAATTGCGGGGGGTCATTTCCGCCATATGGATTCTGTACTAAAACATCTTACGAATCGACAACTTTCCGGCCGATCCTGGGGCACCCCCCCACGGGGGCCTAAATCCTATTCGCGAAATCCTACAGCGACGAGGGTTTAGGGCCTAAATCCTAAGCGACGAGGGTTTAGCTACGAGGGTTTAGGGTCCAAATCCTAAACGACGAGGGTTTAGGGCCAAAATCCTAAACGACGAGGTTTTAGCAACGAGGGTTCAGGGACGAGGGTTTAGAGCTCAAAATCTGGAAAATGAGGGGGTCAACGACGAGGGTTTTAGGAATGGATAACACCAGGATGCTTGGGCCCGCGCCATGCAGGATCCTGGAATCAAGTGCTTCTGCGGCACAAGCAGAATGGCTGCCGCGCTTCTAGTTTACTGCAGATCCGACTTCGTTGTTTGCTTCTGGCTTGTACTCCCTTGATACTCGTACGTGGCAATTCTGATTTGAGCAAGCTGCTTCTATCGTGCTGTTGCCTGCGCGGTGGATGGATCCATGCGTGCCGGGCTGCAGGATACACGTGCTTGACGGAAGATTATCGTGAATGTGGATCCATGGGCGCTGGGCTGCTGGTTTCTCTCGGTCAACGAAAACTTACACGCCGATGCCGCATGCATGCATCTTCTTTTACATCCAGGCTCGGTCTGGCTCATTCTGTCGTCCTGCGGTTGCATTGCTACGGGGATTGGATCCGCTCCGTAGCCCGCCAGCGCACAGGTTAGGTGATCTCTGCAAGCAATGCTCCCTTTGAATGGAGCCTACAAAACGCCAATCGCGATCATGTTGCACTCGCGAAAGAGCGACGTATAAAGCTGCACGGATGAATGGTACATCCATCCAAATTGTAATGTGAGACAAAGTGGCACCTTGGATCTTGTGGAGTGTGGTGCTGTATCCCAGACGCAACGGGAAGGCCGTCGTTTTTCGGCAGGAGCCATCCGGCAGCCAGGTCTCGTGCGTGACCGGGTGAACGAGGAGAACTTGGCCGTGGTCGGTCAGGACCTGCACACCGCTGCGCCTCATGCACTGAACAGTGGCGCCCATCCCGTTGACGAAGCCGTGCTCCTTGTCGGTGTTCCTGGTGATCGTAACCCGCATGGACTGGTGCACCGGCATCCAAAACGGCTCTGCATCCACCTGCGTCCCTTTCCAGAAGTTTTTGAAGTTCTCCTGGGGATCGCACGGTATCCAATCCAAGATGGAATCATCCCGGTGCTCCCGCGCGCAGCCCCAACTTTTCATCGCGTGGACACCGCGGGGGGAAAACGAGCCCGGGGCCGTCAACCCCCCCGGTCCCCTACGTGGGGTACTCCCGCACGCAGCCCTCGCACTGTTGTCTTAGCAAAAGGTGGAAGATGGAGGACACCTGTAACTGAGCAGCTGAGAACTTTCACTTAGTCTGCAGCTCCTGGCGACGGCGGAGGGCCGCACGCGCGCGCCAAGACCGGTCTGGATACCCCATGCACACTCGAAGGGGAAAGGGCGAAATGGGCCACGCGCCCGTCCCCAACGAAAAAAACACGAAATCGTCTTTGAAGTGTTTGTTTGGAACCAAACAAAAAAGAATGCTCCGAGAAGAGGAGGGTAAGCCCGAGCGAGAACAAGGAAGAATTTGGATACCCCGTGCACGCGAAAAAGAAGTGGAAGCGGAATGCCCTCGCGTAAAATGGGAGTTCGCTTGAATGCACCGAAAAATTCGACCACGCGTGGAAAAACGTACCATTTCGCCTTCCGCTTGCGTCACCAGGCACTTGCGGGTGTGCATGCAGGGTGCTCGTCAGCCCCAGGGGTCCCCGCATGCGCCAGCCCCTGGATCCTTCGCAAGTGGAACCCTGGGGTATGGTTTATTATTTTATAATTCAACTCTTGCCTTTTCGATTATCTTCGGATATTCTCCAAGGATTCTGATTCTGAGAAAGTGTATGAGAAATTCTCAAAACCTAAAATCATAATCTTCAAATTATCAACAGAATATGTGTAAAATTCAAGTCTTCCTTATTAGCAATGCCAAGGTCTGAGGTGTCTATCTATATATATATATATATACATATATGTGTATATGCACTTCTTTTGTTTGATCGTCGTATTTCTTCCCGATTCTATCATCATGAAAGTCGTCTCTTCAAATATTCCTATAAGAATATGTCTACAAAAGCTGAATAGCAAATGAAGATTCCTCTGACCGAAGCCTGAAGCAATATAGAATTTCGATCTTGTAACCTATTCAATATGGATTTGAATCCCTGCCCCTGGCATTTTACGACATCATGCACAAGCAATAAATCTCAATAAACTCCCCAATGTTGTCCAATTATTTCCCAGAGCCTCCCACCAACTTATGCACTTCGTTCAAAAAGCGACGCCAAAACTCCGGTTCAATAAATATTGTAAAATTCGGATAGCTAAATCACTATGTGTCATGAAAAATATGAAAAATAAGTATGAAAGAAAGAGGGAAGACAAAATACAAGACAGTTTCCTAAAAGGAGTTTAGGAAACTAAACCCTAAAAGGCGGAGCTGGCTAAGGGTGGGAGCCGCCCTTTACGGGCGCGGGTGGGAAAAGAAAAACTGACGTGGCCGATACAAGGCCCCAGTCTCCAAAGGCCTCCAGCACACTCCGAAGCCGAATCGTGAACTCCCCTCGCACTTGTGCACCCAAGCGGCTGAACATCGAAGCTTATTTCCTGCACAAACCCTAAACCCTAAACCCTAAACCCTAAACCCTAAACCCTAAACCCTAAACCCTAAACCCTAAACCCTAAACCCTAAACCCTAAACCCTAACCCATTGTCAAACTTCGACTCCAGGAGCCGCTCCTGAAACGCTCGAACTCGCCCACGCCGGAGGGCTTCGGCCTCTTCTCGCAAGGCCGTTGCTGCTTCAGGGCTTAGGGTGTAGGGTTTAGGGTTTAGGGTTTGGGGTTTAGGGTTTAGGGTGGACGGTTTAATTAGGGTGTATCAGGGTTTAGTGTTTAGGGAGACTCAGGGCTAGGGTAGGGTTTAGGGTTCTTTAAGTGATGGAGCTTTGGAATAAAGGAGTCCATCAACCTATCGTATATGATTTTGTTGTAAACTCTGAGCTCTAAACTCTAAACCTGAACTCTAAGTCCTAAATCCTAAACCATGTGTTTTTGGTGCCCCAGGGGCCTGCATTCAGGGTTTATGTATTAGGGAATTAGAGATCTTCGGCTTCGAAGGCTTCAGGGTCTGTCAAGTGCAGGGTTTAGGGTGTTAAGGTTTAGGTTTAGGGTGTAGGGTTTAGGGTTTAGGGTTTAGGGTTTAGGGTTTAGGGCTGCTGGGGCTTAGGGTTGAGGTTTCAGGAGCTATGGGGCCTCCGCGTGTTGTTTAGGCCTCAAGGTTTTGAGGGTTTTTTTTCTGGGCCTCTCGGGTTTAGGGTTTAGGGTTTAGGGTGTGGGGTTTAGGGTGCGGAGCTGCAGTTTGTATTGTGAAAAAGGGTTGGTGTTGAAGGATGAAGGGTCAATGTACCTGGTAACCTTTGTGGCTCAAGAATGGCTCAAGAATGGCTACTAACAACGGCTGTTCAAAGCGAAAAGTAGTGCCCTGGGGTTTGGAGTTGGGGTTGGTGTCTGGTTACTTTGGTAAGGATATCCCCCTCTCTCCTTCGGGTGCTCTTGTTTGGATCTGTGTTGTGTTCTTCGGTTCAGGGAGTTCATTTAGGCAACCAAGGGTTGAGATTCTTTCCTTTCCCCTTTCGGTTGCCCCCGTAGGTTATGAGCCCAAATTAGGTTCCCTGCGGTTGGGTGTTCTCTTAAGGTTGTTGGGATCAAGAAGCAATGCCTTCTCCCAAGCGATGGCTCCAGCCTTCCTCGGATGGTGGTCAGAATGGTGGAGCTGGAAATGGTGCAGCTGAGTCTCTGGGTGAAAGGGCGGTGCTGGAAGAGGTGATGCCTGGCGCTGAAGAACATCTGGAAGAAGCCTTGGTTGCAGAAGACCCCAATGTGGGTATGAATCCCAATGTGGATATGGTTAGCAATGCTGAAGCTGGAGGACGTGCTGTTTCTGTATCGCCAAAGCCTGGTGAAAAAAGGAACTGGGACGCGACTGGTGGTATAGACCGCGAAATGGAGGTGACTGTTTTACGCGTGTTGCAAAAGCATGGGTATCAGCCGTCGTCTTCAACTTCGGGCCGAAGGGTGGACCAAGGGTCTCAGACCAATCTGAGTGGAGAGGTGCTGCAAGCTGCCAGGAGGCCTCTGAACAAGATTAAAGGGGATCCCTCGGTGAGTTCCCTAGGTGGTGGATACGCCATGGGGGAGGAGGAGATCTTACAGATGGAGGCTGAAAGGTTGCGCCAGTTGTCAGAAGAAGAGGATGAGATGCGTCAAGTCTCTGAAAGGGATGGTTTTCGGAAAGATGAGCATCTGATCAAAGCGTGCGATGGGACAACGTGGGAATGGCACTTCCACGAAGATGGGAGACAATATTACTACTGCCTGGATACGCAGGAAAGCAAGTGGACGTTGCCGGTTGTAGGTGAAAAGATGAAGAGTGACGAGGTGGTTGGGTCTCCTTCGGGCAATGAGCTGGAAATGGAGGCTGCACTGGGTTCTTCATCATCTACTCCGACGCCTGAGTCTACGAGGGCATTCCAGGGTAGTGTAAATAGTGTAGGTGAAAAAGATTTTCCTCTACTATCAGGGATAGCGGTTTTAGGGCTGGTGGTGACGCCCAGACCTCGGGTTCTCCTGATGAGGAAGGAATTTCTGGAATCCGAGCAGACATCGCTGGAAAACATCTGGATCGGGAAGAGATGAAAGCGCTTTCTGAGGGTGTGGCAGCGGTGGAATCGGTGGGTCCAGAGGAAAAAATGCCCAATGCGGAGATTGGAACTGTGTCGGCTGCAGAAGAGCGAGTGGTGGATGTGGTACCTGTCGTTCAGGAAGGTGGTCCTGGAGATTTGGATGACGGAGGGAAAAAGTTGTGCGTTACGACTGAGGAGGTCTCTTCGTTTGGTGCCAAGAATCTTGCCATTCAAGGGAAAAAAGAAGCTTCTGGAATAGCTGGAGACACGGTTGATCTGAAAGATGAGGCCTGGAGCGCCAATGAAGCGGGGGTCAATGTGCCAGATAGTACCTGGAGTGCGGAGGAAGCACGGGTTGAGGCGCATATGGTGTCACGTTCCGCGGACGACTGCAACAATGGGGCGCAGGTCTCCGTAGCAGCTGACGACGGAGGTTCACAGGTGGACGCACTGGTGCAACCTGAAGTTAGCAGCGAGGAACGAAATGGCAAAGGCTACACCGGAGCCAATGTGGCAGCTGTGGTCAACGATGGTGGTGATTCCCTTTTGGAAACCATGGAGCCAAAGGAGCCTGCGGTGGAAGAAAATGTCCCTGCCGCGGATGAGCAATCCAGTAGCCCTGCAGTGGAAGAAAATTTGCCTGCTGCAGAAGGTTTGACAAAAGACTCCAATGATGGGTCCACTCCTACGAAGGGGGAAGTATTGCCGTCTGAAAGCTTGCCGGAAGTCGACACCGAGCGAACTGTAACAGATGAGGCAAAGCCATTGGCTGGAAAAAAGGAAGGTCCTGAACCCCTTGAGCACAAGGTGGATGATCTTGTGGGACTCGTGCAGGAGCAGGACAAGCAGCTTGACCCAAAGGTGGAAACAAGGGATGTTCCAGGAGCCGGTGATACAGAGATGGTTTCTGAAGAACAGGCAAAGAAAGTGCCCAATGGGGGAGCCTTGGTGACACCTGGGGAGCATTGTTATCAAGCCGGAGATAGGATCACTGCTCTGGTGCGTTGCATCAATGGGCATGGAGCCTTTTTGGAACACGGTGATCTGAATGTGCTGATTCCTGAAGAAGGGAAAAATACACCTTCTTTCAAAATTGGTGACACTGTCTGCGCGACAGTGAAGAGGGTGGATGATGATGGCACTGTGATTTTAGATTCCTGCCTAGTTTTTGAAGAGGACGATGAGGACTCTTCTCCAGCGCAGCGCAAATGGAAAGACGGCGGCTGGGATGCGTGGTGGGGAAATTCATGGTGTGATGGTCAATGGTACCAAGATTCCAACGGTCAATGGGACTGGAAATGGGAGGAAGAGCAATCCGATGAATGGTTTGCTGATCAGGAGTTATCCTCAGAAGAACAAGAGGAAAGGCAACTCTATGGAGAAAAGATCTATAGAGCTCTTCTGGAGGATGGAAAGGCTGATAAGGCCTATGTGGGCAAAATCACTGGGATGCTGCTGAGTCGTACAATGGATGAGGTACTGGAGTGTGTTGCAGACCATGCATTCCTGGATGCGGAAGCTCGGCGTGCATATGGCATCTTGCAAAGTGATGGTTGGAAGCCCGATGGTACAGAAGGCGCAGGCTTGGGAAAGACAACCACCTTTTCCCGAAAGCAGTACCACAACGCGCTCTACGAACTGGCATGTAAGAAAAGGAGATTTAGTCGACCAGTTGTGGGTGAAGCGGTGGCAACGTTGCTGAGTCAAGGCAAAGATGAACTTTGGAATGCGCTTTGGCTGGATACCAAGCGGTTTTTGCAGGAGCTTGATGGTGCAGTTGAATCCATGAGTAAGAGAGAAAACAAGCCAATGGAAGCCTACATGGATCCCGATCAGTATAAGAAAGCTCACCTGACGCCAAAAACTGTGTCGCCAGGGTACAGCAAGCTGTGCAAGTTTTTCAATCAGGGAAGGTGTCGCAATGGAGATGAGTGTTCCTATGAACATCGGCGTTATGGTGAAGGTTGGCCAGGAGGAGGACCAACTGAGCCAAAGAACAGCCAAAAAGCTGGAGACGAGGATGGGGACATTGGCGACCCTCCTACAGAAGAAGGCACAGTGGATGAGGCACAGCAGGAGCGGGAGGATTCAGCTTTCAGAGCCAAGTACAACTTTGGTAAAGGTGCATCAAAGGGTGAGTCTGTGTCAGTCGAGCCAAAGAGGCAAATGTGTCTGTATTACAACCAAGGAGGTTGTAAATATGGAAATTCTTGCAGATATTCGCACGATGAAAAAGCGGTTTTGGAAGGGACTTGGGAACCCGGCAGATCCTGGGACAATGCTTCTCGGAGGGCCATAAGGGACGCAGGGTTCCATCATTGCTGCTTCGACTACTACCTCAAAGGGAGATGTCGCGTGCGATATGGTTGCAAGTATTCCCACGACGAAATGTCTGAAGAGCGACTGGCCCAATTGAAGCATCTGGCGAATGTGGCGAACCATGTTTCGTTTCAAAGAGGAAGAGGATTGGAGATTTCCGACAGGAACACCTTTCAACCACCAGTAAGTGGGGGAGCGGAATCTTCATCATCTTCGGCACCACAGGCGTTGCAAATGACCAATGTGTCAAAGAAAACAGGTGAGGGTGATACACTGGATGGAGCAGATGGAGATGTACAAAAGGATTCGGTGGCAGAGTCTACCACGGTACGTCTTCAGAATCCTGAAGAGCCAATAGAAAATTGGATGGCTCGCAACAAACACTTGTGGGTGTATACACCTCACGTAAGTGACGTTATGATCAAGCTTGGTGTAACCAATGTCAGAGAGCTACAAGAGTATATCTTTGTGGAGGATTTGGTGGAAAAAGGAGTTAACAAGGCGACGGCCAACAAAATTCTGCAATTGGTGGGTGGTGTTCAGTACCGGCCAATGTCGCCGGATGTGGCTGTTTCTACCAACGCATCGGTACGCATGGAGCAATCTTCTGGAAGCCGTGAAGCTGGAAGAGGTGGGGTGAGAACTATCTCTCAGGTGCGTGAAGCTGAAGGTCCTGGTACAAAGGAGATGCCGCGAGGGTCTTATCGAGAGATTTTCGACACCGGCAAGCACCGTGACGCTTGGACGCTTGCGCAGAGATCCCCGCTGTGCGCGCAGAGGTTGCGATTGGTGGGAGTTGGAATGCCACCGGTGAACCCGCCAACAAAGGCGTATCGGTCAAGATCAAACCCTGTGAAGAGGGGAAGGCCCTTGCTGGATAAAAAACAGGTGCGACAGGTGCCACGCTCTCGCTCACAACGGCGTGCGCAGCCGGCGGAAGTGGTGGAAAAGCCAAAGCCGCTGGAACCAGTAAAGCCCCGTGGTGGTTTGTCGTACCCATTCAGCAGAGCGTGGGCAGATTTGGTGGATGATGATGATCAGACGGGAGCTTTGGTCTCCTATGCTGATTCCTCAGGTGATTCAAGCGAGGAAGAAACCAACAGCGCGCGACACCTGAGGGAAATCTTTTTGCGAGAAAGGGATTCACAAAGAACTGCGATGCGTGGCAATGTTCCACTTGCTGGTTCTTCAAGCTCCAATGATGGGCAGAAAAAATCGGTTCACCTTGGCGAAGGGCGCGACAAAGCGTCGCGGGGGGAGACCCGCCAAGAAGTGACTTCTCGAGTTTTTTCGCTACCACAACCTTCTCGTCGAACTGAGCAGTCTCAAAAAAGAGCAAGGGATGGCTCAGTTATAGTTGGTTCGCTGGCGGTGGGCTCCACGGATGAGGTTTTACCTGGGCAAGGTGTTGCTGGACAGGTGAATGTATCTGAAAGCGCTCAAGTTCTTCCTGGGCAAGAAGTGGCTGGACAGGAGACGGCGCTGGAAGGAGCGGTGCAAATTCCTGGCGAGGAGACCGACCAAAAAGAAGGAGAAGGTGGGAGCAATGAACTCCGTGGTGATGGTGCGAAGATATTGGATGTTCGTCCGGTGAAGAAGGACCCTCAACAATTGCTTACTAAAGGCCTTCTGAATCGGATTTATTGGAAGGTTGCTGTCGGCAAGTTGCCTGTGGGGCAAAGGGACTGTCAGAAGGGGTCCAATAAAATGGATCGAAATTTGGTTATTAGCATGTCATCCGAAGGTGCAAGTGAACAGGAATTGAACCTGGCACTGGCGGACGATGCTGATCAGTCAATGGATGATGGTACATTGGTGGTTATGGTGTATGACCCACGAACGCTGATTCAGTCGCCAACAACTGATTGGGCTATGCGTCGCGGTTTGACCGATCGTACCATCTGGCCAGCAATAGCAACTGCAGCACTGAGGATATGTGCTGCAATGGTTCAAGTGGATGAACTTAATGCCCAGCTGGAGACTGGGACACTCCTTTTTCAAAGGAGAGATCAAGGACATTATGGTGATTTGCATCATTCGTTCCATGAAAATCCGTGCTTGCCAGCGGTGGGAAATTATCCTCTCTCGGTGATGCGGGCATTGCTATCTCCTGGTCAGAAAGGGGAATTCAGAAATACTGAAAAGTTTGGAACTGCTATGGAGGCAATTGCCTACGATTGGAGTCGCAGTCCAGGCATGGAAGTTCACGTTGAACTTATGGCGAGGGTAGCCAAATTGGTTGCTCCGTTCGTTACCCTAGGAGGCCAAGGGTCAGTGGTGAATTCGGAATTTCTCTGGCAGCGCGGGAAGGATCAAATGATGGAGTTCCTTCAGGCGGCGACTTGTGCTGATCAATTGGAGGTTCTCTGGAACAGGATGGACGACGATGCTGACGAGGAAGTGGATCCTTCAGGGATGGTGCTGGAGATTCTCGGACAGCAAGATGCGGTACTTGAACAAGGGATCAATGAATCCCCTACTCCCATTGAAGATGCTGGAAGTGAGACAATTGGTGACACTGGAAGGGATGGCAAAGCGCCAGAAGTTTCTCCAGAAGAGGAGACATCCAGTGGTTCGTCAAGATTGGCTGGCACAAGGATGTTCTTGTGGTCGGTGTATTCTCGTGTCGCTTCCAACTGGGATTTCTCTACGCAGGACCGCACTACTGGTAGGATCTTTGACAGCACGAAGGGATATCCTGGTGAAGGACCGGACAATGGTGACGATTTTTCCTCTAAGAGGAACTTACCCTGGATCTCTGAAGATTACCTCGACGAAGTGGTGTCAAAAAGATGGAAAGGTCTTCAGATATGGATGGGTTGGATGGGTTTGTTCCGGAAAGTGAGGGACAGTCGGAAAAGGTAGAGGTGGAGAATGTTACTGCCTCTAGAATTCTTATGGCTCTTTGGAAAAAGGGATATAGAGCTGGGTATAGGAGGTTGTGTCGTTCGAATGTATCTGGATGCAAGGTTGGAGCAATGAAACATCCAATCAAAAGGGTGCAGAAGATCGGCACTAGAAAGGCCTTCGTGAAAATGTTCAATGTTTTTGGATCGTCTCAGCATGGCTCAGGAGCTGGTGGACAACCAATCATGAAGGTGGTAGGACCAAGGCCAGGTTTTCCAGCTGTACTCAAAGCATCAAATACTGATAGCACCTTGGGTGAAGGGAGCAGCTCTCAGGTACATGGCAATGTTCATGTAGAGCAGAATCGCCCTATGGACCGGTACGAGGCGGAGCGTTTGGAGAAGAGGAAGAAAGGCTTCTGCTATTGGTTCAGCAGGGGAAAAGATCGCTGCAAATTTGGTGAAAATTGCAAATTCATCCATTCAGAAGATGATGTGGTGCTACAATCGTATTGGTGCAAGTACTATGTGGCTGGGAGACACTGCTTCTCTGGAGAGAACTGTAAGTTCTCACACAATGCAACTGGTGTAAGGTGTATCCAGTTTGCTCAGTCTGGGAAGTGCCGTTATGGGGACAAGTGTGTCTTTGAGCATGGTGATCCGCTGGATGAACAGAGGCCAAGGTCTCCAAGGACGCCCCCAAGGGATGGTCCAAGGAGAAGTTCTGGTACAAGAGGTGGAGGAAAGGAGATTTCTCCTGAACGGTTTGATGAAGAAGAGGGGGATTTCATGGGGTTTATGACGATGATACCAAAATGGTAGAACTGCTGATGGAGGCGATTTCATTTATGTCCAATGGCAAGTCAGATTTGGCTCGTGCAGAGGCGGACCCAGTGTTCAAACTCCTGAAGTTCAATGGAGACGCTGAACAGAAGGATACAGAATGGTGTTCATGGACCACTGGTATGCTGTCCTTGCTGGAACTTCACGAAATAGTGAAGTCGTATGAGGTTTCGCTGGCGGACGTGGAAGAATGGGTCAATGACCTGAGGATATGGTTCGAGCGAGCCAATATGGCAGAAGAGAGAGATCCCAAAAGGGGCAAAAAGAGGTCCCTAGAAAGGGAGTCCAGCAAGGATACTCCTGCCGAAAAGGAGGTGGTTGGAACTTCGGAGACGGATGTTGCCGTTGAGGAAGAGGTGAAAAAGGCCAAAAAGAAGAGGAAAACTGCGGCTAGCGAGGATCCTTATACTCTTCTGGTTCCAAAGCCGAAGAAGATGCCGGCGAACATTGAGAAGGGTGGATCATCATCCAATGCGGTGGTTTCTGGAGGGGAAAAGGCCTCTTCGAGAATGCGCACGAAGTCAAGCGTCGTGGGAAAGACGAGGAAGAAAGAGAAAAGTCAAAGCCCCAAGAAGGAAGAGGTGGTAGTGGTGAAAGGTCCTGAGGAAAAGGATCGTTCCTCTGATGTGGATGCGCAAGCGTCTACCACTGTGGATGCAGAGCTGGGTCAATCTTGCCAAGCAATTGAGGACACGAAGAGAGAAAGATTGGTATCCTCAATTCAAAGGTGCGTGCAGGATCCTGTTCTTACAGTGTCGGACCTGGAGTATGTTTTGCTGCGACTTCACCTAAGCATCGATGCCCACCGGAAGAAGAAGAAGGGATGACTGGAGGGTATTGATGAGGGAATGGTTTTTTCTCTTTCTGAAGACAGGTGCGCTGGAACAGCCAATGTGCTGAAAGTATGGTGGTTACTATTAAGGGTATGGAAATCCCTGATAGTAGAAGTCAGTAGCCTTTTGCGTAGCGAAGACCACGGTTCGTGGTGAAGAAGACTGAAGAGTCTTCAATGACAAGAGAATCATGGTGAAAAAAGATTCTCTGTGGTAAAAGGTGTTTAGCCAATGTGCTATAAATTCGTCCTGGATGACGTAAAACCATAATATGCATTCCAGCAGCTGGCTGCTGCCCTAATGGCAGTTTTTGGCCAAAAGTCTGCACCTCCAATGTGTGTCCTAGGAAATCCTAGGACAGGGGGAGTGCGGAGCTGCAGTTTGTATTGTGAAAAAGGGTTGGTGTTGAAGGATGAAGGGTCAATGTACCTGGTAACCTTTGTGGCTCAAGAATGGCTCAAGAATGGCTCAAGAATGGCTCAAGAATGGCTACTAACAACGGCTGTTCAAAGCGAAAAGTAGTGCCCTGGGGTTTGGAGTTGGGGTTGGTGTCTGGTTACTTTGGTAAGGATATCCCCCTCTCTCCTTCGGGTGCTCTTGTTTGGATCTGTGTTGTGTTCTTCGGTTCAGGGAGTTCATTTAGGCAACCAAGGGTTGAGATTCTTTCCTTTCCCCTTTCGGTTGCCCCCGTATAGGGTTTAGGGTGGCATCCTTGCTGTAGGAGCCATGTTCCCCGACGCGGACAAGATGAAGGACAAGATTCGGGCCACACTTTTCGCTCCAGAGTACGATCCAGAGGCTCAGGGCCTTTTGGGCTCAGACTTTGGGATGTCTTGTTAGCTTAGTGGTGCCCTTTACCCTTCGTTTGTTGGTTCTGAGTTCCCTTATCAACCCCCAACAAAGATGCCCTTCTCAAAAGACGGTTATTGTAACCCTAAACCCGAAAGCCTAAACCCTAAACCCTAAATCCTAAACCCTAAACCCTAAACCTTGGTTAGTTCATCTTGACCTGTGCTGCAATCCTGTGGAATGTACCTTCGTCTGGGCGCTGTTTGCAGTCGATGTTTGCTCCTCCTCCGAGAACCTTCGCTAAAGGCCCGCACAAACCTAGGATGCCCAGTAGTGCCCTTATTCCCTTTTTGGGTTACTGGGCAGCCTAGAAACTGCTTGGTTGCACACTAAACCTGAGAAAGCCAGCACAAGGTGCAAGTGTTGAGGACCCCCGAGCTCAGTTCTTTCCAGGGTATATATATATATATATATATGGGCATGAACCCTAAACCCTAACCCTAAACCCTAAACGCTAAACCCCTAACCCTAAACCCTAAACCCCCAAACAAAGTCGCATCTTGTGACTTGTCGACTTTTGTTGGCCAAGTTCGGTTTGGGGTCTTAGGTACTTTCGCAGGTCGAGGGTTGAGGTTTTCAGGGGTTGGGGTTTAGGGTTTAGGGCTTAGGGTTTAGGGTTTAGGGTTTAGGGTTTAGGGCGAGGAATACGCGGTTTCACGGCTTGGCGCGTGCAATTTAAGGCCTGTAGAAGGTTGCTACCGTCACGTTGGGTGCACCAGGCTGTCTACAAGACGACGGGCAGGCACGTGCGGGATGAAATTGCAGCCATCCTCTAGAAATGAGTGTTGGGCTTAGATGTACCTTGTAAGGCTAGGCTTGTCGCTGGCGACTGGCTGCAGACCCTTTAGCCCTCTGATCCCCCAAATACATCCTAAACTTGGTAAGGAATGGTAGTTGTTCAACCCTGAACCCTCAACCCTAACCCTTAAAAGTTACTAGACCCCTGAGGCCCCAGAATTAGGTCCCTGGAAAGATGGGGTTGAGGGTTTGGCATGAGATTGTTGAGAATGGTGGGTTTTGGGGGATTTGGGAAGGGGAAGGAGGGGGGGGGGGGGGTTCTCAACCCTAAGCCCTAATCCCCAAACGAAAGTCCTAACCTGGCGCGCTGAAAAAGGATTGTCCATTGTAGTTAAGAAACTAGGGCCCGGTATTAGGGCTCAGAGTCCCTTTCAATTCCCTTTACAACCTAACAGGGCACCCTTTTTATACCTGGGTTACTCTTATAGGAAAAATAAGGGTCGTGAAGCTGATGTCCTTGCGAGGTGCCAGGCCATTGCCCGCGATGCGACCTTCAAAACCATCACGATGGTGGTGATCGTGGCCTGGCGGGTCGAAGGTTAAGGAGTTGGGCGGGAGAAGGGTATTTAGTGCATACAATATGTATGTATACATTTTCATAGGTACATACATATATGCATATGTGCATCTTCGGTTTGTGCAGTTTGGAGGGGTGAGTGGGCTATAGGCCCGATTATGCTTTCTTGACCTGCAGACCCACATGCAAAAAAACGGTTTAGGGTTTAGGGGTTTAGGGTTTGGGGTTTACACGTTTGAGCGCGCACATGTTCGGGCTAGAAGCTCAGTGTACACTCGAATTTGTTTTTAGTATGTGGGCAGTCTCAGTGTGCCTGTAAGACATGGCTTTAGGGTGCATTCACCAGCATCGATCTTCAAGCCAAGCGGCAAGGCGGCAGGAACAAGTCGCAGCCTCTAGAGGACCTCCCGGCATTCTTGCGTGTATGTACGCATACATATATATATATACACACTATATACATATACATATACACACATTCGTGTATACGTGATGTTTAGTCGTTTGGTTTACATGTTGTTGCAGAAGACGGCGCTTGTGTATACATGTGTTTGAGTTACGTCCAGTTAGGCTACGCCACGCTAGCGTAAGCTGGTTGCCTCGTTTAGTTAGTCCGTCAGTTGCTTCTTGGAATTGGATCGGTTAGCTGTGGTTAGTAGGTTAGCTAACTGGCCAGTTCGTTTTTCAGCCCTGGGAGGGAGAGAAAGAGACAGGGAGAGAAGGAAATAGAGAGAGAGAGAGAGAGTGTGTGTGTTTGAAAAGCACACGTACAACAAAACAGAGAGCCCTAAAGCCCTCAACCCCAAAACCCTAAACCCGCTAGACCCCTAAACCCCCAAACCCTAAACACCCTAAAACTCCAAGCCCCTGACCCTAAACCCTAATGACCCCACAACCCTAAACCCCTAAACCCCTAAACCCGAATATCCCCAAAACCCTCAACCGCAAGACCCTAAACCCGAATAACCCTAAACCCGTAAAAACCCTTAAAACCCAAAAAGACCTAAAACCCAAAACCCCAAACCCCAAACCCCTAAACCCTAAACCCCTGCCAAACTCATGCTGATCTGTTCATCCCAAGGTCTTGAACGCCCTCTGGATTGGCATCGACACGGATTTGAGCCTTCAGCTGGCTTCAAGGTTGAAAAGGGTTTAGGGTTTAGGGGGTTTAGGGGGTTTAGGGGGTTTGGGGCGTTTAGGGGGTTTAGGGGGTTTAGGGGGGTTTGGGGGGTTTGGGGGGTTTGGGGCGTTTAGGGGGTTTGGGGGGTTTGGGGGGTTTAGGGGGGTTTAGGGGGTTCAGGGGGTTTAGGGTTTAGGTTTTAGGGTTTTAGGGTTTTAGGGTTTAGGGTTTAGGGTTGAGTTAGCCATTACTAGGCTTCACCATTGGACGTTGTCGGCCGGAGTGCTGCCAACTTCAGGGCCTTCCCGAGCCACCGGAGCTCCCTTGAGGGGCAGAGGATCTGTGCATGTTTCGGTTTAGGGTTTTTGGGGTTTTAGGGTTTTTAAAGGCTTTAGGGTTTTTAGGGTATTTAGGGTTTTAGGGGTTTAGGGTTATTAGGGGTTAGGGTTATTAGTAATTAGGGTTTAGGGTTTTATGGTTTAGGGTTTAGGGTTACTGCGAATGAAGGTGTCGGATTCGGATTTTTTCTGAAGTTTACAGGCCTACTTCAGAACCTCTCTAAAGGTAGGGGCCATATGAACGGACCATGAAATCATGAAGCCCTAAACCCTATACCCTAAACCCTAAACTCTAAACCCACCATCCACTGAACCCTGAACCCTGGACCACATTAAAGGGACCACCTCAGACTGTGCATCCAGGAACACTGCCGAGCTTGAGATCGAGTCGCCACTGATCTTTCAGGCCCCTCAACCCTGAACACGAAACCCTGAACCCGAAACCCGAAACCCTAAACCCTAAACCCTAAACCCTAAACCTCAGCTTTTGCTGGAGGCATCATTGGGGTTTAGGGTTTAGGGTTTGGGGTTTAGGGTTTAGGGTTTAGGGTTTTTAGGGCAGGGTTTAGGGTTCTGCCCAAAACTCCTAATCACTAAACCCCAGGCAGGAAAGTTTATCAACCTCAAACCCCAGCCTATAGGGTTTAGGGTTTGGGCGATAGGGGCTTAAATCCTGACGTCCAAGGTACCGTTCAGTTCTTGTAGGGCGCCCAACTTCCTTTGGTGCTCTTCCCCCCAAACCCTAAAGACTAAAGTACTTATCGCCGTACTTATACCCACATTGGGGGCACGGGGATTAGAAGTGTGTTACAAGTACACTTATAATTGCTTAAGAAGTACGATGAACCTCCAAGTACAGGGCGCCAAAGAATCTGACAACCTTAGACCTGACAAAGCCCCTGACTTTCAGGTTCTGGGAAGACTCCTGTCTTAGGATTCCATGTAGGGGTTGTTTGGGGCAGTAAGTGGTGGTTTCTCAAAGGTGACGGTTGAGACGTCGGAACCCTAAACCCTAAACCCTAAACCCACGTCGGGCCAGGTAGTGGACAACGCGTTCTGCTTCTTCTTCACCTTCGAGATTACCGTTCGTCACTTCGCCTTATCGTAGCCTCAGAGGGTTTAGGGTTTAGAGTTTAGGGTTTAGGATTTAGGGTTTAGGGCTTAGGTTTTAGGATCTTCGGTAGGGATGTTGTGTTGTTGCAGGTGGCCCCCATTTCTGAATGAGGCCCCGGGCAGGATTGCAGGGCAACCTGCAAGATTTGCAAGCTTAGGTGGAGGAAGTTTAGGGTCTTGACAGTCTGCTAGACAAGCATGGCTGCTTGGGTAGCTTACTTGGCCAATAGTTAAACTTTGAACTTTTTGGGTTTCCTTATCTAGTAGCAATGGAAAAGTTTAACCTTTTTCCCCCTTGGTTGTTGGAGAAGTAAGGTAGTATAAATGAGCCTTGTCAAGGCATTGCAAGTATTACGGGTAGAGGGCTAAACTCCTTTACGCCGCTGAGCTCTTTACTTGAGAAACGTTATGATTCACCCCATATAAGATGCATACCGTGGGTACCCTACTTGTAAGCACCCCATGAGTCTTCAAGTAGGTTTGATCCAGGTCGCAAGCCATCCAGCACATTTGCTGGGCTTAGGATTTGGGATTTCGGGGTGTATAGGGTTTAGGGTTAAGGGCTTAGGGGTGTGGGGTTTAGGGTTTATGAGGGTGAAGGATTTGGGGTTTGGGGTTTAAGGCGTCTTCGCACGCAGCAGCAGAAAATCTCATGCCCACATGGCACCACCACCACTCCCGCGCATAAATGCGGCGCGGCATCTGCATCGATGATCATAGGCCATGGGCAGTGTGTAAGAGTCTGGCGATTCCCATGAAGCCCCATCTGCGCGAAGCACTGGCCGGCACCCTAAACCCTAAACCCTAAACCCTAAACCCTAAACCCTAAACCCTAAACCCTAAACCCTAAACCCTAAACCCTAAACCCTAAACCCTAAACCCTAAACCCTAAACCCTAAACCCTAAACCCTAAACCCTAAACCCTAAACCCTAAACCCTAAACCCTAAACCCTAAGCCTGCAAGGGTTTAGAGCTACAAACTGTGAACCCAAAACCCTTCTGTCGGACCCTCAGCCCTAGCCTCCAGGGCTGGAAAGCGAGAACCGATTTGGGTTTAGGATTGTTTGGAGTTCGGTTTAGGGTTTAGGGTTCAGGGTTTAGGGTTTAGGGTTTAGGGATTAGGGCTTTGTACACACGCAACCCTAGACCCTAACCAGCTCTCGCATGCCGACCGGCCGAATTTGAGGCTACCTCGCATATCAAAACCAGTCGGATGCGTTCAAGGAGCCATTTTTTGCGTTTTAAGCTTCATAGGCTTTTTTTGGCCGGGTTTTAGTGGTTTTTGAGTCATTGAGTTTGGGGTTGAATGGGGATTAATTATGCGGTTTACAGGGTGTATAAATTTCTGTTAAGGTTCATTTCATACAGGGTTCAGGGTTAAGGTTTGTAGTTTGGGGTTTATACTGTTTATACAGGGTTATAAAGGGGTTTATATAGGGTTTATTTAGGGTTTATTTAGGGCTTTTATAGGGTTTATAGGGTTGGTAGGGTCTAGGGTTTCGGAATGCTGCGGAGACGTGGCGATTTTGGGTTTGGGGTTTGAGGGGAGAAGCTGCAAACGCCACCCTAAACCCTAAACCCTCAACCCTCAACCCTCAACCCTAAACCTAAACCCCAAACCCTAAACCTCAAACCCCAAAACCTAAACCTTAAACCCTAAACCCTAAACCCTAGACCCTAAACCCTAAACCCTTACATACCCCCAAGTACCCATGCCAAAATGTGTTTCAAGGGGCTAGACGAGGGACCCTTCTGAGGGAACTGGGGGGGGTTCTTTCGGGGTTTCTTACGGGTTACTTTGGTTTTCGGGGCGAAGGTTCTAGGGGTCCCTCCTTATCACCCTTAAATAAGGGGCGTTCCTTCATGGGGCCGGTTGGGGTGGGGGGTGGGGTGGGGGCTGATAGGGTTTAGGGTCTAGGGTTTAGGGTTTATAGGGTCCAACCCTTCGAGGTTTCAAGAGCTCAACTGACTGGAGAGCTTTTTGGACCCGAACCTTCAATCCCGAAGCATCAAACACGCAGAATCCCGTGCCTTGCTGCCCTAAAGAAGTTTTAGGGATTGGGATTTAGGGTTTAGGGTTTAGGGTTTAGAGTTTAGGGTTTGTTTAGGGTTTAGGGTTTAGGGTTTTGGGGCTTGAACGCTTGCTGGTATGCTTGGATGGCCAAGTTGTTTCATTCCTTGGGATGAGCCAACACACGTTCAGCCTTTCACTCGTGGGCCCTGGGCTACACGCAGCTCACCGCTCTCACTGAAGGCCAGTTGACAGGGTTTAGGGTTTAGGGTTTAGGGTTTGAGGGTTCAAGGCTCAGAAACGGCGTAGATGAAACTTCAAGCCGACAACCCTAAGCCCTATGCAGCCCTAAACCTGAAACCCTAAACCATAACCCTAAACCCTAGCCCTCAACCCTAAACCTCAAGCCTAAACAGGATTTCAGCTTCTGCTTCGACCTCTCACTGGTGGCCACCATGATTTGGGAGGCAGGAACCCTGGACCCGAAACTCTACTTACCCGAAACCCGAAACCCTAGTTCCCCTAAACCCTAAACCCTTTACCCCAAACCCCAAACCCTAAACCCTAAGCCCTAGACCCTACACCCTAAACCCTAAACCCTCCTCCCTGGATGTTCATGAGTATAACGAAGGTTTCAATGTGGGATATATATAGAGTTTAGGGTTTAGGGTTCAGGGTTTAGGGTACGTTGGAAAGTAGGGTTACAACCTTATTTAGGCCACTTCTAACCCTAGCTATACAGCCTTCAAGCAAAAGCCCTCAACCCCCAAAACCCTCGACCGGAAACCAACTGCTCTTATAACCCAGTAACCCAACTAGGGCACTTAAGGGGCTGATAAGTGGGCGAGAAGCTCACTTATAATTGGGTTACTAAGTACCGTAAATCCTAAACCCTAAACCCTACTTGTAATTAGGCTAAGTACCCTGAACCTCCAACTGGGCACCCTCAGAAGTCAACTAAACCCCTAAACCCTAAACCCTACACCCTAAACCCTAAACCCTCAACCCTAAACCGAAACTGACAGAGAGGTTTGGGTCACCACACTTCTGGTCCTGCTGCTGACGAGCTCCTCAGTCTGCCAGCCCTTGAGTTCAGGGTTTACCCTAAACCACCTCAACCCTGGAAACCCCATAAACCCTGTGAAACCCACAAAGCGTTTAGGGGTTAGGGCTTAGGGTCTAGGGTTTAGGGTAAACCCTACAAACCCTGTGAAGCCTGCAAACCCTGTTAAGCCTATAAGCCTTGTAAACCCTGTAAACCCCATAAGCCCTATACACCCAGGAGTGAAAGTTGGTACAGTACATGCATGCTTGCATGGTCAACCCTTGACCCACTCTGGCCCCCTTAGGAGTCACTTCGATTTTTTGTCCAAAACCCAATGAAGTAGAAAACGTATTTCATGAATTAAGGCTCTTAGGGGGAGTGTAGAAGCCCGTGGGCACCTGACCCCTTGACGTAGACGTAGATAGACCTTATGCACCGAACTTTGTCTGGGTCTGGGAGGTTGAGCATCCCCCCTTCCTACCCTTACATATTTCCAGACTTTATAAGACCTCTAGAATTACAAGCCCAGCCCTAAACCCTAAACACCCTATACACACTGTCAACTCCCAGGCGCCGATCACGTAGAGGCCTGAGTGCATTGCCATCGCTGCATGCATGTTCGGATTTAGGGTTTAGGGTTTAGGGTTTAGGGTTTAGGGTTTAGGGTTTAGGGTTTAGGGTTTAGGGTTTAGGGTTTAGGGTGTGAGTCTCTTAGGTTTTCAGAAGCTCTAAACCCTAACCGGCTTGGTGTTCTGCATTAAAAGGGCTGGGTTTGTCCTGTTAGGCCATTCTGGAACCCTAAACCCTAAATCCTGAAACCCTGTCAGCCTGTCAACCCTCTACCGACCTGTGCCACTGAAAGCTGAAGCAGGGTATATACATATATATATATATATGCTACCCCCCCCCCCCCCATGGACCTACCAATTTCCTTTGTTTTTATCCATGAATTTCGCGGTCTAAGCCACATGGTTTGAAAACCATGGGTTTTATGGATAACATTTGTTTTGCCGATGTTTTCGGGCTCCATCCTTCAAAAACATTGGTAAAACCAATTATCCGTGAATTGGGTGCTCCCAGCCACATGGTTTGAAAACCATGGATTTTATGGATAACATTGGTTTTGCCGATGTTTTCGGGCTCCATCCTTCAAAAACATGGGTAAAACCAATGTTTTCCATGATTTTCGTGATCTGAGGCTCTCTCCCAGCCACCATTTCTCGAGGTAGTACCAAGCAACAAACTCGAATCCTGCAAAATCTCGAGGGAGTACCAAAACCTCCTTATAATCAATCACGCCCCAATACGCAAGACATGACATCTGTCCTAAAAACACTACCTTAGCTACGATATCTCAAACAGTCATCCCCCGATAAGCAAGACCTAATATCTATACTAAACCTGTACCTTAGCAACATATCTTAAGACATCACGCCCTAAGGCTCCTACCAATTTAATAAGGTTCCTATCAATTTCAACAGGATTCTTATGCATGTTACTGGGATTCGCATAGGATTCTCATTAATTTTAAAGGATTCCTATTGGATTAGGCTCATACTAGTTTAGTAGGATTCCTATCAGTTCTTGTTAAAGGATTCTATTGTTTTGAAGGCCTATTGGTTCCTATTGATTTAGAAAGATTCCTTCTCGTTTGAATAGGATTCCTGTGACTTGTAACCCGGGTTGTTTCCAACTTGTTAAGGTTCCTATTCATTTTAATAGGCTTCCTATTAACTGTTGTCCGGTCCCGATAATTCAATAGAGGATTCCTATTTACTTTCATAGGATCCCAATAAAGTTTCATAGGGTTCCTAATTATTAATAAGGCCCCTATTTTCTGTAATAAGAGTCCTATCAATTTTAATCAGATTCTTATTCATGTTAATGAGGTTCGTGTTAATATTAAAGGGATCTCATTCACTTTCAAGGGATTCCTGTTGGTTTAGGCTCATGTTCATTTTAATCGGTTTGTCTAAAGGTTCACGTTATTTCTTATAGGAGTCCGATTGGTTCCTATTAATTTGAGTAGGGTTCCTCTGCAGTTTAATAGGATTCCTACTAATCCTATTAATTCTACGAAAATGTTGGGAGAGTACCAAAACCTCCTTACAATCAATCACGCCCCAATACGCAAGACATGACATCTGTCCTAAAAACACTACCTTAGCTACGATATCTCAAACAGTCATCCCCCGATAAGCAAGACCTAATATCTATACTAAACCTGTACCTTAGCAACATATCTTAAGACATCACGCCCTAAGGCTCCTACCAATTTAATAAGGTTCCTATCAATTTCAACAGGATTCTTATGCATGTTACTGGGATTCGCATAGGATTCTCATTAATTTTAAAGGATTCCTATTGGATTAGGCTCATACTAGTTTAGTAGGATTCCTATCAGTTCTTGTTAAAGGATTCTATTGTTTTGAAGGCCTATTGGTTCCTATTGATTTAGAAAGATTCCTTCTCGTTTGAATAGGATTCCTGTGACTTGTAACCCGGGTTGTTTCCAACTTGTTAAGGTTCCTATTCATTTTAATAGGCTTCCTATTAACTGTTGTCCGGTCCCGATAATTCAATAGAGGATTCCTATTTACTTTCATAGGATCCCAATAAAGTTTCATAGGGTTCCTAATTATTAATAAGGCCCCTATTTTCTGTAATAAGAGTCCTATCAATTTTAATCAGACTCTTATTCATGTTAATGGGGTTCGTGTTAATATTAAAGGGATCTCATTCACTTTCAAGGGATTCCTGTTGGTTTAGGCTCATGTTCATTTTAATCGGTTTGTCTAAAGGTTCACGTTATTTCTTATAGGAGTCCGATTGGTTCCTATTAATTTGAGTAGGGTTCCTCTTCAGTTTAATAGGATTCCTACTAATCCTATTAATTCTACGAAAATGTTGGGAGAGTACCAAAACCTCCTTACAATCAATCACGCCCCAATACGCCAAGACATGACATCTGTCCTAAAAACACTACCTTAGCTACGATATCTCAAACAGTCATCCCCCGATAAGCAAGACCTAATATCTATACTAAACCTGTACCTTAGCAACATATCTTAAGACATCACGCCCTAAGGCTCCTACCAATTTAATAAGGTTCCTATCAATTTCAACAGGATTCTTATGCATGTTACTGGGATTCGCATAGGATTCTCATTAATTTTAAAGGATTCCTATTGGATTAGGCTCATACTAGTTTAGTAGGATTCCTATCAGTTCTTGTTAAAGGATTCTATTGTTTTGAAGGCCTATTGGTTCCTATTGATTTAGAAAGGTTCCTTCTCGTTTGAATAGGATTCCTGTGACTTGTAACCCGGGTTGTTTCCAACTTGTTAAGGTTCCTATTCATTTTAATAGGCTTCCTATTAACTGTTGTCCGGTCCCGATAATTCAATAGAGGATTCCTATTTACTTTCACAGGATCCCAATAAAGTTTCATAGGGTTCCTAATTATTAATAAGGCCCCTATTTTCTGTAATAAGAGTCCTATCAATTTTAATCAGACTCTTATTCATGTTAATGGGGTTCGTGTTAATATTAAAGGGATCTCATTCACTTTCAAGGGATTCCTGTTGGTTTAGGCTCATGTTCATTTTAATCGGTTTGTCTAAAGGTTCACGTTATTTCTTATAGGAGTCCGATTGGTTCCTATTAATTTGAGTAGGGTTCCTCTTCAGTTTAATAGGATTCCTACTAATCCTATTAATTCTACGAAAATGTTGGGAGAGTACCAAAACCTCCTTACAATCAATCACGCCCCAATACGCCAAGACATGACATCTGTCCTAAAAACACTACCTTAGCTACGATATCTCAAACAATCATCCCCCGATAAGCAAGTCCTAACATCTATACTAACACTGTACCTTAGCAACATATCTTAAGACATCACGCCCTAAGGCTCCTACCAATTTAATAAGGTAGGATTCTTATGCATGTTACTGGGATTCGCGTAGGATTCTCATTGATTTGAAGGGATTCCTATTGGATTAGGCTCATACTAGTTTAGTAGGATGTTAGAGGATAAAAACCATGATTTTTCAAACTACTCGGAGACCCAAGCCCATAGTTTGGAAAATCATTGTTTTTTTTTGGTTTTTATTGGTTTTTGCGATGTTTCGTGAGCATGGGCTCAAAAAACATCGGTAAAACCAATGTTTTTTTGAAGGTAGGGGTTCAAAAACATCGGTAACACCAATGTTTTGGAGAGGCCACCTTCAAAAAACATCGGTAAAACCAATGTTTTTGGAGCCCCTGCTCAGGAAACATCGCAAAAACCAATAAAAACCATAAAAACCATGATTTTTCAAACTACTCGGAGACCCAAGCCCATAGTTTGGAAAATCATGGTTTTTATGGTTTTTATTGGTTTTTGCGATGTTTCGTGAGCATGGGCTCAAAAAACATCGGTAAAACCAATGTTTTTTGAAGGTAGGGGTTCAAAAACATTGGTAAAACCAATGTTTTGGAGAGGCCACCTTCAAAAAACATCGGTAAAACCAATGTTTTTGGAGCCCCTGCTCAGGAAACATCGCAAAAACCAATAAAAACCATAAAAACCATGATTTTTCAAACTACTCGGAGACCCAAGCCCATAGTTTGGAAAATCATGGTTTTTATGGTTTTTATTGGTTTTTGCGATGTTTCGTGAGCATGGGCTCAAAAAACATCGGTAAAACCAATGTTTTTTGAAGGCAGGGGTTCAAAAACATTGGTAAAACCAATGTTTTGGAGAGGCCACCTTCAAAAAACATCGGTAAAACCAATGTTTTTGGAGCCCCTGCTCAGGAAACATCGCAAAAACCAATAAAAACCATAAACACCATGATTTTTCAAACTACTCGGAGACCCAAGCCCATAGTTTGGAAAATCATGGTTTTTTATGGTTTTTATTGGTTTTTGCGATGTTTCGTGAGCATGGGCTCAAAAAACATCGGTAAAACCAATGTTTTTTGAAGGTAGGGGTTCAAAAACATTGGTAAAACCAATGTCTTGGAGAAGCCACCCTTTTTTGAAACATCGGTCAAGCCGAGGTTTCAAAAAAAAGGTAGGTCCATGGGGGGGGGGGGTACCATATATATATATATATATTGCTGTTATTGGTGAGTGTATATGTTGGGTGTCCTTTTGTTGATACAAGAAATATAAGCCCTACTTCAGCTGATTCTTTGTAGGACTCCTGAGCCCTCAACCCTACACACTCAACCCTGATTCTTGTGTCGAGGTCCCCAGGGAAGGAAGAAAGTGCACCTTCCTTTCATCCCAGGTTGCTTGTGTAACCTACTTGCAGGTTCATGGTTGCTACCATGGTTACCCTATTTATAACGCTGCTTGTAAGTACCCCCCGCCCCCCCCCCCCCCCCCTGAACCTCCAAGTAGCTCTTGTAGCCTTTGGTGTCAGGTGTATATTTTTCTGCTTGGAATGAAAAAAAAACAGTCCTCTCTGTTGCTGTTTTGTTTCGTTGTCTTCTCTCACCCAATACTGTTTTCTGTAACTTCCCGATCCAAAACCCTAAGCCCTGGGCTCTGGATTTGAGAGCTACCCCGATTTGGGTTTGCGGTCTTTGGGGTGGGGGTGGGTGCAGGGGCTGTGCTTCGGAGGCTTGGTTGTGGCTTTGGGGGGTTCAGGATTTAGGGTTCAGGGTTTAGGGGGTCCTGGAGGGTTAGGGGTTGGGGTGTGCCCTCCTTATACTAACAGTCCTTCATAGGGATTATAGTACCCCTTAGGGTGTGGGGTTTTGGAGTCTAATTCAGCGTTGACAGGCTTTAGGCTACAGGGTGGAAAGTCGCAGTTCCGACAGTAATGTATCTAAGAAGAGCCAGAAGCGCACCCTAAACCAAACCCCAGACCCTAAACCCTAAACCCTAAACCCCAATCCCTAAACCCCAAACCCTAAACCCAAAACCCTCAACCAAACCACCCAAAGCCCTACACCCTGAGCTGCCCGAAGCCTAGCCTTGCCACTCAGGGGGGTGGCAATCTGTCCATCCTGCGTCTCTTCCGTCTCTTCCGGCTGGTCCGTATCGCTCGGGTGGGGAGGCAGCCCACTTAGAGTTTAGGGTTTAGGGTTTAGGGTTTAGGGTTTAGGGTCCCCAGAAATCTTATATCCTAAGCCCTCAACCTGCTAAACCCTCAGCTCGCACCAAAACCACTGAAGCCACTAATTCCTCTAACCTTCATATCCCCCCCCTACTGTATGAACTGCAGGTAAGGGACTTTCAACTGAAATTCTTCCTTATTGGGTGTCAAGGAATCAAAACAAGGGCTGCTTATCCGAGGGGTCCAAGTGGCCAACTTGTCAATTGAGTGAGTTTCGGGTTCCTTCTAAACACTAGTGGGTGCATTCTTTGGCTGACCTGTTGGGGACACGAGTGAGCACTGAAAAGGATCCTCATGTGTGTTTGCCCTCTATAGGGCATCCAGTGAGGGGTTTGAACGATCACATGGGATCCTTTTTTACCAAGTATACATCCTATACATACAAACAGGGGTTTTTATGGCCCAGGGAATATAGTAGGGGTCCATGCTTTTCATCTTAGTCAGCCTCTACCACCCGGAATGCCCAGACCTGGTTTGTTCCCTTGGCAAACCAACCCCATAAAGATCCTCAAACCCGCAAGTGCCCGAGGCCCGCAAGGGTTTAGGGTTTCGGGTTCAGGGTTTAGGGTTTAGCGTAGAGGGTTTAGGGTTCAGGGACACAATGCCATGGAGGCTGATGAGCTCCTGTCGTGAGCTGGTGGTGCTGGTGAAAGGAATTGGCATGGGCCTGCGATCCGTCCTCTCCACTCTGCTGCCTCAGCGGCAAAAGTTCCCCCCCCTAAAACCCCAAATCCTACCTCAACCCTAAACTGTAAGCCCCGTTTTAGGCTGTTTAGACCCAAAGACAATGCTAGAGAAGGTTTTGTTGTTTTAAGGTTTTGTTTGGAGTGAGGGGTGGGGTTTAGGGTTGTCGGGTTTTTGTGTTTAAGCTATCTGGAAGTTATTACGACTTGTACCCCGAAGGTTGTCATTGCTCCTTAAGGTTTCCTTCATACACTTCTACTATGGCCCTTTTCTTGGCTTAGGGATCTTTAACACAGGGTCCCCCGAACCCAAGGGTGCCACCTTAGGGGGCCCGAGGTAGACGTGCCTTCTTGGAGTCTGGAGTTTGAGGTTTGGGGTTTAGGGTTTGGGGTTTAGGGTTTAGGGTTTAGAGGGCCAGTTCTAGGGTGGGGTGCATTTGTGGAGATGCCTGCTTCGGCTCCCTCAGCAACGAAGATTCTCCCCCATACTCGGACGCGGACTGATGCGTAGGCTTCCGACAGTATAACTTCGGCATGTCCCGTAGCAATTCGAGAATGTATCTCAGAGCTGACGTCTGTCAGGGGCAGTAAGGCAAGTCCCCTGGCCGCCGCCGGGACGCGCCCGGCGTTGGCCGGGCACGTCGGAAGCGGAGACGTAAGAAAGGAGGTGAGCAGTGGGTGTTCGCGTCTGAGGACGTCGCCGTGATGGGCGTGTGGATGTTGGTGAATGCACCTCCTTGGAACGGAGGCCAACAAACTATTGGTAAATAGTTCGGCTCCTGTCTGAGAGGAATCATGTCGTACCAAACACTAACACTGTCTAGAGTTGGCTGTCTGACGGTATCTGATACCCACTTCGGGTTATTTGGCAGCCCTAGGTCCATCGCCTTCACGATAGTACCCAAACCTAAGCCCCCTAAAATGCTGAGCTTCCTGAAGCCCCTAAACCCCCGAAACCCCTAAATAAACCCCACCCTGGACCTTAGAAATTTTGCTTGTTCATGCTCTTTCTTGCCGCTTTGGTGCTACAAGGCCCTACAACCCTCACCCCTTAAACCATAAGGCTTCAAGGCCCTAAACCCTAAAGCCCAGAAACCAAAACCCTAATCCCAGAACCCTAAACAAACAACTCAAGTCTTTTGAGGGCAGCAATGCGTCACTGGTTCAGCAAGCCCACAGAGTCCTGAACTTTGCCGTCTAAGCCACCTAAATCCTAAACCCTAGACCCTAGGCCCTAGACCCTGGACCCTAGACCCTAGACCCTGACCCTAGACCCTAGACCCTAGACCCTAGACCCTAGGCTTTGTGTGCGCAAGCGGGCAGTTGAGGGTTCATGGTTTTGGGGCTTGTAATTAGGGTTTAGGGTGAGAGTATATTCATGATAAGAAACCCTAAACCTTAGATCCTAACCCTAAACCCTAAACCCTAAACCCTAAACCCTAAACCCTAAACCCTAAACCCTAAACCCTGAAAAGATGAGTCGGAGCCCAGAGCCAGGAACTCAGAAATGGTGGTCTGCAGGTATCGGGGTGCACTGAGTTGAGGCTGATTTTGCGTTCATCGGGTTTGGGGTTCAGGTTTAGGGCTTCGGGTGGGTTTCTCGGGATTTTCAGGGTTTAGGGTTTAGGGTTTAGGGTTTAGGGTTTAGGCGCGTCCCGGAACCCAGGTTCCTGATGATGGTCGTCATCTACATCTTTGCCATCATCTTCACCCAGCTCTTGGGCAGCTACTTATGCTTTTGGGAGACTCCAGGGTGTGGGGTTCAGGGTTTAGGGTTTAGGGTTCAGGGTTTAGGGTTTAGGGTTCAGGGTTTAGGGTTTAGGGTTTAGGGTTTGGGGTTTAGGGGGTTTAGGGGGTTTAAGGTTTAGGGCGTTGGAGCTGGAGTTTCAGGTTCACAGCATCCTTCGGGTTGAAAAAAGGGCCGTGGGGGGACTTAGGGTAGAGGGTTTAGGGTTTAGGGTTTAGGGTTTAGGGTTTAGGGTTATTCTACAAACTCTGTACCCAAATCCCAGAACCCAGAACCCCCTGCACCCTACACCTGACTTAAGCCCTAGAAGCCTCCAGCTAGGCTCTGGGATGTCATGTTAAAACACCTTTGTTGGGTTCAATCAAACTTTCTGTGGTAGTTTTTCAGGGGCCGAGCTAGCCCAAGGCTCTTCAAGCCCTAAACCTGTAAACTCTGCAAACCCTGAAGCCTAACACTGAAGTTCTAAACCCTAGAAGCCCCAAACCCTAGAAGCCCTAAACCCCAAGAAGGCCTAAACCTAAACGCCCTAGACCCTAAATCTCTACATGCCGAAGCCCCAAAAACCCCGCAGCGTTTACCCAGCCTCCGCACTTGTCGAGGTTCATGGATACATATGTATATATATATATATATCGGGGTTGTATAAGTAGGGTTATATACCAGTAGAGTGTAAGTATGGTTATTCCCGTTTACAGGGTGCTTATAGCACTACATATCGGTACCCTGCACCGTACACCCTGAAGCCCTAAAGCCCTAAACCCTAAACCCTAAACCCTAAACCCTAAACCGAGCCTTCAAGCAGGCTCTTCCGGGGCAGCCCCGAAGCAGAAGGATGCTACGATGGGGTGCTGCAGTCCATGAACTGTGCCATGGCACTGGTGTAAAGTTTAGGGTTTAGGGTTTGGGGTTTGGGGTTTGGGGTTTAGGGTTTAGGGTTTAGGGCTGGGTTTAGGGTTTAAGGTTTAGGGTTTGGGGGTATGGAGTTTCAGGATATTGGGGTTGAGGGTCTAAAGTTTTAGGGCTTCTGGGTTTTGGGGTGTTGTGGGTGTTTCGGGTTTAGGGTTGAAATGAGGGCTTACGCAAGGGTTTCAGGTTTTGGGTTCTGTAGGGTTTTGGGCTTCAGCGTGCGTAGTTCCTTGTCTTTGCTTGTGCTCGTGTCTCTGAATAGTCTAACTGGAACTTATGTGTGAGTCGATTCTGTTACGGGCGGTTTTGGGTACCCAGATTTTCCTGGGGAAGAGATACTGATCGACATCGAGATCGGAACATGGATTGTGCTTTCGATGCCAAAGGCATTTGGTAGTGGCTACGCGCCAAAGCTCCATAACAGCAACATGCGGGACTGCATAGCCCAACCCCCCTCCCTGTTTTTGTCTGTAGCGTGCAGGATCCTAGGTCCGTCAAAACCTTAAACCCTAAACCCTCAACCCGAAACCATGAAGAGTTCGGGTTAAGGGTGGTTAAAGACTTGGGCCCCAAGTCCCTATGTAGGAGGCACTTTAAGGCCCAAGTACTCCCCACATGGACCCGTAGGGTAGGGTTTAGGGTGAGTATATACTAGGGGCCCAAGTCCCTACATAGGAGGTACTTTAAGGCCCAAGTACTCCCCTACTTAGGTACATGGACCCTTGGGGTATATAGGGCAGCAGGGGCCCATTTCCCATTGACGCATTGGCCGCCCGAGGCTTGATGCTGAACGTCGTTCCTCGCCCGCAAGTTCCAGCCAAATCCCAAAACCCAAACCCTTGTTGAGGAAGCATTGCGACAGGGTTGAGAGGTTGTTTGGCGGGATGATATGTTTTTTTTTTTTTTTTTTTGCAAGGGTTCAGTCTTTGTTTGTATGGTTTTTGCTACTTAATTCCATAGCAATACTACGAATGGTTGGGCATTTTAGGGGGTGCAGAATGTCTTTTTGAAGCAGGGATGACTTCCCGCTGCCACAGAATAGATATCATGTTACAAGAAACCTCGTTATTTTTGCACGGGTTAGTATCTTGAACGGTCCTCCCCTGCTACCACATAATGAAAAACATCTCTCTCAGTGTATACCAAGTATTGCGGGGGCATAGCGAATATGAGGGGGTTATGGTAGGGGGAGGGCATACCCTAAACCCTAAAAACCGTAAACCCTAAACCTTAAACCCTAAAGCCTAGTTATGGACCCTATCGGTTGGAGTGTAGACATCGATGGCTAGGCTCGAAGGGTTCCGGGTCTGTGGCTTTCAGTGATCAGCTCAGGCTTCAGCCCGAGGGGTTTAGGGTTTAGGGTTTAGGGTTTAGGGTTTAGGGTTTAGGGTTTAGGGTTTAGGGTAAGCCCTATAAAGCCTGAAACCCTAGATCTCAACCCTAAACCCCTCAACCCCAGACCCAGAGGTCTAAAGTTTGCTTCCATGGCCGAAGGTCTTCCCAGAACAGCAGGAGCTCATGGCTAAGCGCGCTGGCTTTTATCAGCTCGGGTTTATAGGGTTAGATCGTATGGTTTCGGGTTTAGGGTGGGCGGGGGGGGGGGGGGGGGGGCTGGCTTTCGTTAACTCGGTTTACTGTTAGACCGTATGGTTTTGGATTTGGGGGGGGGGGGGGGGGGTTCAGGGTTGAGTTTGGAATTTGTGATTCTGGCGTTTCAGGGTTTAGTTTTTGGGGCGGTTGGGGAGGTTTGGGGGGAGTTCAGGATTTGTTGCGGGTTTGGGGGGTTTGGTTTAATTTTCAGGGCATGGGGCAGCTTTTGCCATCCCCCTCCCCTGCCAAGGAAGGCAAAGGAAACGAACCCCTTGTGAGGCCCTTCCCTTGTGAAGGCGGAAATCTCCTGTGATTCTTCGTTCGGCATCATTTGGGGCCCAAGGTGTGCATGTTGATTAGAGTTTGGCTTTTAGGGCTTACGGGTTCTGACTAGTTTGCGGGAATTGGGTACCTTATTTTCCTCAATGCAGTGTAGGAGGTTGTATGGGGAGCCGAATTCCCTAATCCCCCCTACTCTCTTAGGACCTCTCAAGCTTTGGATTTGGGGTTTCGGGTGCGCCAGCTTCTCCAAACCCTAAACCCTAAACCCTAAACCCTAAACCCTGAACCCTACACCCTAAACCCTAAACCCTAAACCCTAAACCCTAAACCCTAAACCCTAAACCCTAAACCCTAAACCCTAAACCCTTTCATTTTGAAATCTCCAAGGCCGAACCCCTACAATGCCCTACCGCCAGAAAGCCCCTAGGGCCCCAACGCCCTGAAACCTTCGCCTCCCTCCGAAGACCCAAACCCCTGCAAGCCCCTTCCAGCCCCACTATGTAGCCCTATAAACCCCTCTCTACGATAGGGCTTTAGAGTCGGATTTTTCCCCCAGGGCTTTAGAGTCGGATTTTATGCCCCCGAAAGGCCCGAAACCCGAGCCCTAAAACCCCTAACATACCTAAACCCTACTGTAGGGGTCGGAATAATTTGTAACAATATTCCGTATGGTCCCTATATTAATTCTACTATAATAACCTCCCCCCACTACAACCCCCCCCCCCCCCCCAAAAAAAAAAAAAAAAACAAACACAAATCTAGTTTTTGAGGCCCCTATATGGTGAGTTCCCTGAATTATGGGCTCTTTTGGGGTCAGTGTTATCAGGAGGGACGCACCCCAACAAACATCCACACTTTAGAGAGAACTGGCCATATTGCCCTGAGGATGCTCGAGCTGGGGCCAATGACCTACCTCCTGGGTATCTTCTACCTCCTGGTGACCGGCCTCACAGCGCCTCCGCGGCACAGCCCCCCACCGCTCAAGACCCCAGGCCCTAAACCCTAAACCCTTAGCTGTAAACCCTAAACCCTAAAGCCTTTCATTTGTGTAGGGTATATAAGGGGTACCCTTTAAGGGCCCATACTACGTGACCATGTAACTACCCTTAGACCCGTAGAAAGTACCTAAGAGCCACTGGGGGTCTTAGGTTGTAGCGTTGAGGCCTGGCTCCTGGTTCTAGGTTTAGGACCAAACCGGGCTCCCCAAATACACGTATGCTTTCGTGTGTTGCGCTACTTCGCTGTTGGTGTTGAAGGTGTACCCTACACCCTAAACCCTAAACCCTATACGCTCTAAAGCATACCTGAAATCTGCTGGATGGCACCTGAAATCTGCCGCATCCTGAAGAAGTCTACCGTTTGCTGAAGAACCCCCCCCCCAAAAAAAAAAAACTGTATTCCCCCTTTAAAGGTAGAATATATATATATATATATATGTATATTTTTTTTCTAAACTTTTCTTGTTGAGGGGGGGAAGGGTTCTTAAGCAATTGGAAGAAGTCCTGTGCGAAAGGTCATGAACATGCTCATCGGCCGCCGGCCCAGCTGCGAGTGCAAGGTTTTTGTGTGTGTTTAGGGTTCAGGGGATTTAGGGTTTAGGGTTTAGAGTTTAGGGTTTGGGGTTTAGGGTCTAGGGTTTAGGGTGAGGGCTTAGGGTTCAGGGTTTAGGGTTCAGGGTTTAAGGGTTTGGGTTCAGGGTTTAGGGTTTAGGGAATAACTCACCGGCGGTAGTTCTTGAAGCATGCAGTGGGAGACATCGGCTACGAGCTCGGCTGCTTGCTGAGAAACCACCATATCCAATTGGCGAACCTTAAACCCCAAACCCAAACCCTAAACCCGAAATCCTAGACCCAATTAAGGGTGATAAGGTTGCGGATGCCTAGGGTTAACCCCCCAGACAGTGCTGCTGTTAGTTAGTTGGTTGGTTGGTTGGTTAGTTAGTTAGTTAGTTGGCTAGTTACTTAGTTAGTTCGTGCGTTGTTGTTGTGCTATGTTTTTGGTGTGTGTGTGTGTGAGTGTGAGTGTGAGTGTGAGTGTGAGTGTGAGTGTGAGTGTGAGTGTGAGTGTGAGTGTGAGTGTGTGTGTGTGTGTGGGTGCGTGCGTGCATGCGTGCGTGCGTGCGTGCGTGCGTGCGTGCGTGCGTGCGTGCGTGCGTGCGTGCGTGCGTGCGTGCGTGCGTGCGTGCGTGCGTGTGTGTGTGTGTGTGTGTGTGTCTCTGTGTGTGCCTGTGGAGTGCGAACAGGGACCTAATTAAAGGGAACCTCGCTTGTGCACCATGAGTCGGAGTCAGAAGCCGTGTCCAGCTGTAAACCCATAGCCCTAAACCCTAAACCCTAAACCCTAAACCCCTGTCAATCCGAGGTGTGCTGGTGGAAGTTGTGTCAGTGGTGGCGCAAGTGGACAAGGAGGACATCACAGATCAACCCTGAAACGGGTTTAGGGTGTAGGGGGCGGGGGTCATGTCCACTATCACGCAGAAGACGCAAAGGTCCCGACGGTTTCGAAGATAGCGAGCAGCACACAATCCTGAAGTCAAATGCCCACCAGAAACCATGTCTGAAGTCGCCCTTGACGGCCTTGCTTGCCAACAACGTCAGTCTTAGAGTTTAGGGTGTAGGGACAAGTCTTTCTTGGTATCCCTGTTTGCACTCGCCCCGAAGCATTGGTGCAGATTGATGGTTACCCCCACACACCCACTCGCGGCCCAATGTGCAGAGACAGGCACAAAGCTGCTTCTACAGGCTAGACTTGAGGTCTTGAGCCTCGGCCCCATGGGTACCTCTGTTGCGACAGTATGGGGAGTTGCCGACAAGAGGGGTGCCCTTTTGGGGAACCAGTTCTCAGGCATTTCTACTAGGTATTGGTGTTTCCCTATGTATTGAAGGCATATATGGCCCCTATCATTTAAAGGCGCCCATCAAGGGGCCATCATGGAGAGGGCCTGTTTCATGTAGAGCTTTTCCCTTCATCCTGAATCTCAAAACGCTCCAGAGCACCACCCGGCAACCCTGTAGACCCCAAAATTCTTGCGACCAGAGCTCAGCAGGAGAGTGCGGTGAAGGCCCTACGTGACAAGATCCAGGTCTGCGTGTTCGTTGCTGGGACTATGCTGTAGGTTTCGGGGTGTAGGGCATAGAGTTGTAAAACTTATGGTATTTAGAGGTTTCGAGCCCTTGGAAAAAGGTGGATAAACCCTAAACCCTAAACCCTAAACCCTAAACCCTAAACCTTTTCGGCATTTGGATTACAAGGCGCGGAAGGACATGGCACATGGGTGTGCGACCTCGGAGTGGGGTTCATTCAGCCTGTCTGGTTTTCTACGGCCCCAGGGTCATTTTTAAATTAGGGTTTAGGGTTTAGGGTTTAGGGTTTAGGGTTTAGGGTTTAGGGTTTAGGGTTTAGGGTTTAGGGTTTGCGGCACCCGAGCGGGTTTCCCTGCAACCCCAGGCAGGACCGGGGTTTACAGGGGTTATAGGGTTTATGAGGTTCGCAAAGTTCGGGCCCAATGGCCAAGCTACATCATGCTCTATTGGTGTATTTTGAGCCTTTTCTCCAATATTTATCAGAAACCAGATATACACTCGTCAAGAAAAGCAACCGAAACCCTGCCTCAAAAAGGGAGCCCTAAACCTTAGAAGCGCCAAACCACCAACCCTAAACCCTGAACCCCAAACCCTTAACCCTAAACCCTTTTAAGACCAACAAATGCGACGCTGGCAGGATCTCGTACCACCCGAGTCGAAGCAGGGTATCAGCCGCCAGCTCTTCCTGCAGCTGATGATGGCTCGGTGGCCCAGCGGTGCCCGTTTGCCCATTTTGGGGGGGTTCAGGGTTTAGGGTCTAGGGTCAAGGGTCAGCTGCGGCTCTCTTCTATGGGGTTTAGGGATGATGGGTTCAGGGTCTGCGGCTTATCTTGGGGTAGAATCGCGGTCCCTTCATATAGGCCCTTAAAAGGGGACCCGCATTACATACCCTATACAAATTACGGGCGCATACATCAGAAGCCTCTAAGGAGGGTAAGGGACCATGCGAAGGGCCCATGAAACGACCCTTAGCAAGCCTACACCCTAAACCCTAAACCCTAAACCCTAAACCCTAAACCCTAAACCCTAAACCCTAAACCCTAAACCCTAAACCCTAAACCCTAAACCCTAAACCCTAAACCCTAAACCCCAAGCTTAAGTATCAGGGAACTGAAGGAGGGAACCTTCTTAAGGGCCTTAGGGGGTTCTTTGGGGCTTTAGGGGCTTCTCAGGTATTTGGGGACTATAATAAGGTGTACATAAGTGTTATATAGGGGAATAAGACTAAGGGTCCGACCTAGGGGTCCCTCCTTATACCCCGTAAAAATAAGAGCACAGCAGCTCGAAGCTTTCGGGGAGATGTCTGTCCGCATTCGGAAGTTGTCGTGTTTAGGGTTTAGGGTTTAGGGTTTAGGGTTTAGGGTTTAGGGTTTTGGGTTGCTCCATGAGCACTGCTTTGCGTAGACTGTAGAAGCAACACAGGGAAATACCCTAAACCCTAAACCCCACAACAGGCCCCTAACGTAGGACTGCCTTTATATGGGCAGCTCTCAAAGTTGTGGTCCCTTATTCTGGGGCACCCTAACTACAAGCCTTCAAGTGATCGTCGGACACCCAAAGGGGCCATAACTTCGGGCTGCAGGGACAAAATTCATATGCTGGGAGAAAAGCATCTGTCGAAGTTCCACTTGGCAACCCTGCGATCGGTCCTGTCTCCTGCAGTTGGCCTCGGCTTAGTAAAGCAGAGGCTTTCGGGTTTTTGGCTTAGGCCTCGGACTTGGCACACAACTTACACGAGAAACCCTAAGCCCTGAACCCTAACTCGTAAGCCCTAAACCCTACACCATTAGCCTTAACCCAAGTCCAGGTACTCCTCTAGGGATTGCGTGTGGCCCCACCTGAGATCGGGTTCACACGGAGTTGACGATTGCCTGGTGCAAAACGAGTCCCGTGGTTACAGGTGGTCATGATCTTATGCGCCCTAAACGGGCTATGCCCCCAGAGGGTCCATTATTAGCATCTGGAATTCTGGATCACCCAAAACTGTTTAGTATGTTCTTTGTGAAAGAGAAATTTCACAATGGTACCAAACATGGACCTCCTCTGTGCTTCGGACCCGATGGCTATAGGGGATGCCTCGGCAGGTAGCAGCTATAGAGTCCGTTCTGTTCTGGATCTAAATCTGGTCCTCATGTGAGCCTTGCCGAAATCACTTTCTTTAAATCATGCAAAGCAGGGAAGTATGTATTTCCTGCATCCTGTCCTAAAGGACAGGATGTCTTTTTGAATCCTAGTCATGGCCTCAATATCATGGACTCCGACGGCTTCTAGGATGAAGAGCTCGTCTTCACCATGCAGAACATTGATGTGGATGTTATGTGCGTTGCAGCTGGGACTGCAAGATGAAGGGCAACAGGGAGAGCTTGCTATGCCAAGTAAAGATCAGGGACGTCTGGCCTGACGTAAGTGATGCCACGTATGACCCAGATCTAGCTATAACCACAGGCCCCTCCCTTAAAACTCAAGACACTGGGGTAAGGGGCAAGAACCCTCCCTTCATGGTCATGCGTGTCTCGGTTTCGGTTTCGTGCTTGCTATACCTGCAAACCATCCGAACCCTAAACCCTAAACCCTAAACCCCAAACCATGCTTTGGAGAAGTGGGGCCTGCCATGTTCTCCATTTCATGGCTTGGAAGCGCGACTCAGAAGTTTAGGGTTTAGGGTTTAGGGTTTAGGGTTTCATACTACGCAGGCCGGAATTGAGCTCTAAGGGTAGTTACACGGGCCCTGAATAAGGTCCCTGACCTCCCTCAACAGGTTCTGAAGTAGGGGCTCTTAGTTGGTATAGGGTTTATAAGGGGTAGAAAAGGAGGGACCAGTAGGGTTTTTGTTGTTTTGTGGGACCATGTAACTACCCTTGGATGAGCTGCGGCCAAGGCCAACCAGGATGGGTTATGAGGCCTGATAGTCCCCAAAGTCAACCCAAGAAAAGGACCTTGTTTCAGGGTGTTATGGAGTATGATCGCCCATCCTGGAAGGATTACATACTGCCCTCGACCCTCAACACTAAGCCCTACTTTTTGGAGTTGTTGCCGGGTCGGGTCCGCGTAGGGTTTTTGTCTCGACCATGCACAGCCGACTGCAACACCTCTAAAGCCCGAAACCCTATGAAGGGCCTATTTGCCCCCAAAAGAAGCTCTACAGCCCTAAGCCCCGTGAAGCTGTATAAGTCCTCAGCTCCCTAACCCCCAAACCCCAAACTCTAAGCCCAAAACCCGCAAGCCCCCAAAGATCCCCCAGGTGGACTACCCTGAGATTATGTTCCACGCCCGTGACTACCTCTCCGTGCCCGAGTTGGTTGATGCGCCTCCGATGAAAGCTTGCTGGGGGGGGGGGGGGGGTTTCAGAACCCTAGCTGGGACTCTCTGTACAACAGTTTTGTGGGTTCTACCTACTAATTTGGGTAGGTATATATAGTAATAGAGTCCCAGGTGCTCTAAGGGTTCAGGGTTCAGGGTTCATGAACCTTGTGCAGGCTTGCATGGTTTAGGGTTTAGGTAGCTGCTTCTGCTTTGGGATTGGGCTCCTGACCTTTGCAGTATGTAGGGTTACCAGCAGGTGAGTGCTGGGCACCCGAACCCTAGTTCCGAGCTCCGAATCCCTGAACCTGAGCCCAAATCTTGGAGAGGGTTTAGGGTTTAGGGTCTCGGGTTTCGGGTATAGGGCTTAGGGTTTCGGATTCAGGGTCTCAAAGCACCAAACCCTAACCTCGAACCCCAAAACCCCAAGACCCAGAACCCAGAAAACCCCAAACCCCAAAGGCCGCCTCCTACTCCAAGCCCCTAAAGCCAGAACCTCCAACCCAAAGACAACCTAAGCCCCCTACCCCGTCCCCACCCCCCCTCCCTTCCGCCCCTCCACACACAAAGCTTGCAAACATGCAACACACAGAACATCCCTAAACCAAAAAACCTCCCAAAACCCTTGAATTAAGGAATACTATTTAATTCATCAGACTGATCCTTAGTCTAAAGTATTGTATGTACCTGAATCAAGGGGTTTTGGAAGATCTGGGAAACCCTACACCCTAAACTCTAAGCCCTAAACCCTAAACCCGAAACCTGCACTCTTTCAGGCGGTGCTTCAGTTCCGACGCACGACCTCCGTGAGTATGATGGTCATTCGGCGGAAGAGTTTTAGCCCTAAACCCTAAACCCCAAACCCTGAACCCTAAACCGGTTCATTGTTTCGGCTTTAGGGTTTTAGGGTTTTAGGGTTTTAGGGTTTTAGGGTTTTAGGGTTTTAGGGTTTTAGGGTTCTAGGGTTCTAGGGTTCTAGGGTTCTAGGGTTCTAGGGTTTACTGTAGGGTTTTAGGGTTTTAGGGTGTTAGGGTTTTAGGTTTTTAGGGTTTGAGGGTTTGAGGGTTTGAGGGTTTGAGGGTTTGAGGGTTTGAGGGTTTGAGGGTTTGAGGGTTTGAGGGTTTGAAGGTTTGAGGGTTTTGGGTTTTTGGGTTTTCGGGTTTTCGGGTTTTTGGGTTAGGGTTTGGGATTTTTCCTCAACAGGCGGTAGAGACTCTTCTTTTTCGGGTTCTGTTTTCGTGCACAAAGGCTTCGTAAGGCTTCGGGGGTATTTGCGCCCGGGTTCCCAAGAACCCAATATTGGTGCAGGGCCTGTAGGGAGAGTAGCCGGAAGTAGAAGCCTAAACCCTAAATCCTAAACCCGAAGCCCTAAGCCCTAAGCCCTAAACCCTAAACCCTAAACACTAAACCCTAAACCCTAAACCCTAAACCCTAAACCCTAAACCCTAAACCCTAAACCCTAAACCCTAAACCCAGACAAACATCCCTAACCCCTGGCTTCCGAGGACATCGCGCAGCTCCGGAAGTTCATGGTGGCTGAGCTTGAGAGCTTGAGACAGGCAATCAAGACACGAGGCTGACATGGTGGATCTATGTGCGTAGGCTCACATTTTAGGGCCTTTAGGGTTTGGGGTTTAGGGTTTGTGGTTTTGGGTTTAGGGTTTAGGGCTTAGGGTTTGGGGTTTGGGGTTTAGGGTTTAGGGCTTAGGGCTTAGGGCTTAGGGCTTATAATAGGCTCATCAAGGAAGCCCAGTGACCGTCGCGTGTTCTTTTTTTGGGTTCTTGGTTCCTCAGCCAAGCACCAGTTCAAGAAAAAATGCCCAGATTTGTACTACATCAGGATGTCCTTTAAGAAGTTCTTTTTGAAGAATCTGACAACCAAAGTTTGCTCGAAACCCTAAAACCTAAACCCCGGCCCGTACCCCCCTTCCCCGAACGCACACGACCCGTGTAGGGTTTAGGGTTTAGGGTTTAGGGTTTAGGGTTTAGGGTTTAGGGTTTAGGGTTTGATGATCTCCTAGTCGACAACGGAAGATGCACACATGGATCCTGGGTCGTCGGGGTTTGCTCGCGCAAGGAGCGAGTTGAATGGAGTCTGCTGAGGTAGGCCATGCCAGGCAAACATATCCCCTACCTGCGGCAGACTCGATGCCCCCGCATCTACATCGACTTGCAGGTTTAGGGTTTCGGCTCCCTCTACAAGTAGGGGCCCCTTAGTTAGGAGTAGGGTTCTAAAGGCCCTAAATTGGGTTATAAGTCTTCCTATCTAAGTTCTAACTCCCTTAAGTACGGTTAGTATAGTAAGGGGGCCCCTGCTTGTACCCTAGACTTCCCACCGGGGAAGATGTTCACAGGACACAGGACATGGGCGTCTGTAGCCTTCTTGGCCGCCCGCGTGGGCACTCTTCACAAGACTGGCTCGTGTTCGGACGCTTCAGAGTTTAGATTAGATGGTGTCGGTCCATGTGCTGCGCACTCTTTCCAACGTTAGTTCTTACTGTCATAAGTGTTGCTTGGTTTGTTGCTACTCTTGTACCTTTTTCCTGAACACCTGGGCTGGGCGCTTAGCCATACCCCCCTACCGAAAAAAACGCTCCTGAAACTCAGCAAGCCCTTGTATATATCAGGCGAGCAGAGCTCTAACTTCTTGAGGAAATGTGGCAGGAAGTCGGTTTACAGTCCAGAGTGTAGGGTTTAGGGTTTAGGGTTTACGAAGTTGAAGCGCCCACCGGGCTGCACTGTTTTGGCGAGCTTGAGAGGGTTCGGGTCTCCTGTCTTCAGCGCTCTCTCAGAACCTGCGCAGGTTTTTTGAATCCAACCACCCCGCCCGGCCCCCCGGCCCTAAACCCTGAACCCTAAGCCCTAGACCCTAAGACCTAAACCCTAAGCCCTGAAGCCCTAAGCCCCAAGCCCCCCAAACCCTGAATCCTAATCCCTAAACCCTGAACCCTGAACCCTAAACCCTAAGTAAGAAACGAAAAGACAAAAACTGATTAGGTATAGGAACCCCTGAGTGGGGGCCCGAAGTTTCAGAATTGCTCAGAGGCTTCTCCCCTGCCAGCATCGGCTGTCCGAGCCTAGTCCTTGGGGTTTAGGGTTTGGGGATGTAGGGTTTAGGGTTTAGGGTTTAGGGTTTAGGGTTTACGGCTTAGGGTTTAGGGTTTAGGGTTTAGGTCTTGTTTAGGGTGTTGGTCTTGTTTGGAGTTTAGGGTTTAGGGGTCAGGGTTTAGGGCTTCCAAAGCCGCACATACCCACCCAACATGTCGAATGGATCATGACCATTATAGTTGTGATGTTCCTTATTCTTGAGGGAGGTTCGGCTTTTTGAGGTTCCTGAAGCAAATGCTAAACCCTAAACCCTAAACCCTAAACCCCAAACCCTAAACCCTAAAAGCACAGGCCTCTTGGCACAGAAGAGTCCAGCGTGCTATGTATACGCCACTCGGGGGTTAGTTTGGAGGTCTAGGGGAACCCTAAACCCTAAACCCTAAACCCTAAACCCTAAACCCTAAACCCTAAACCCTAAACGCAAGGGGAAACCAGTTACCAAAGCCCGAAATGGGTATAGGGTTGCGGGCCTAAGGGTCAAGCATCTTTGCCCACACACTTAAGCTGAAACCCTATACAGGTCCCAAGCAGCCGATTCTGGCAGCGGCATGTTTCGGAATTTTGCGTACTTGGATACAGTCGGCGGCCTCGTGCAAGCTGTACCATGCAGGAAAGCTTGCTAAACCCTGGGCCAGAAGCTCGTTTCTCTTGGAAGACAGCCCCCCGGACTGTATCCAGTCCCGAGTAGTTCTTAGAGATTGGGATTCTCCAAGACCCACTGGTACTCGGCGAGGGTTGAAGACCCTTGACCCTACATCCCCTAAAGCCCACCCTTACCCCCAAAACCCCTAAACCCTACCCACCCAAACATATAAACGCCCTTACCCCCCCCAACACCTAAACTCACACCCTAAGCCCTACCCTACGGCTTCTGGGCCCTCAAAATCCCAGAATCTGAGACCCAGGCATAGGTAACCCCAGAAAACCCGAATACTAAATAGCTAGCAATTTCTAAGGTTACGTACTCGAAGGTTTCATGGGCACTCAGAAGTATGGAAGACAGTACCCTCAGTAACGTTACCATGTTGCCCTAACTCTAACTGCGCAAAAACCTGCGCATTCGAAGACACGGTTGAGTGCAAACCGAACATACACGCAAGTGTAATATACGTATGTGTAGAATTTCAACGCTGTGCGACCCGTCTCGGCCTCCCCGCGGCAATCCAACCCAAACCGGAGATCATGTAGAGACCAGGCACCCCAAACGTGGGAGTGGCAAAGCAAGAAGAACAAGCCAACCTTGTCCAGGGTGGGGTAGGGAGGTCTTTGGACGGGGGGGGGGGGGGGGACCCTTGGCCCGAGGCCTGGGCGGATTTTTACAATATGCTTACATATATGTATCTACATATGTAGCAGATTATAGAGAAAGAGAGACACGCCCAGAGACATGTTTATGCCGTAGTCATAGCACTCATATGTGGCTCAGGGAGTCCATAAGCCCTTTTTGAAGTCCGGGCTCCCTAAAAACCTAAAACCCCTCAACCCTAAAGCGTAAACCCTGAACGCCAAACCGCACCTCAAACCTAGAACCCTACAGGGTTTAGGGGTTTTAGGGCTTAGGGGGGCACCCCCTGAACCCTAAACCCCAAACTCCTCTACACAGACGCCCTCTCTTACACGCCCGTGCAGTCCCTAGGCCACTCATTGTTTCACGCACCATCCTGGCAGGGAGTTTTGTCGGGGGTGTTGAGGTTGAGGGGTTCAGGGTTTAGGGTTCAGGGTTCCCTAAACCCTAAACCCTAAACCCTAAAGCCTAAACCCTAAACCCTTATCCCTCAACCCTCAACCCTAAACCCTAAACCGAAACCGCCTTTTACCCTCAGTGCGTCGCAATCCTTTCTGAGTACCGGGGATGACGGAAGTCGGCCGCAGGGCTATGGAGCATGGCTCAGGACTCTCTTTTCTGATGTTCTCCTGATCACCTAAGCCGCCCTTAACTTAAGGGTTTAGGGTTTAGGGTTTAGGGTTTACCGTTTAGGGTTTAGGGTTTAGGGTTTAGGGAATAAATGAAGGTCCCTGTTCGGGTACCCTACATATAGGGTTTAGGGTTTGGGGTGCATTGTTTAGGGTTGGACTTCCAACAAAAGGGGTGTAGGGTGTGGAGCCCACCCAAAAAAAAGAAAGCAAGTCGCCCAGCCCGGGAAGAAGTGGTGCGCTTTTGATTGGCTTCAGATTCTTCAAAAAACCTAAAAAACATGAGCCCCTGAGAACGGCATGCCCCCTGTAAACCCTAAACTAGCGTGTCGGGTTTAGATCTTTTTGTTTATGCTTTCCGAGTCTCTATGCTAAACCCCAAACCCCTAAAACCTAAACGTTCCCTAAATTCTAAATCCTAAGCGTTTTAGGGTTTAGCGTTTAGGGTTTGGGGGGGGGGGGGGGGGTTAGGGACTGTAAACCCTGAAGCAACAAGCAGTTTTGGGTTTAGGCTGTTTTGCCGTCCTCAAGGCTGGCACACAAAACTTCTCAACCATGTACTTGGAGGTTCATGGGTACTCATGAGTAGGGCTCTATGTAGAGTTACGACGGCAATGTCTTTATTTGGTGTACTCGTAGCCCTACTTCGAAGCACCCATGAACCTTCAAGTGCGGTTGGCACCCCAAACACCAATCGGTCCCAGGTAAAAACGGAAGTAAATGCGATTGTAGTGCCTGAAAACCTACAGTCTAAACCCTAAACCCTGCACCCGTAACCCTTAACCCTAAACCCTAAACCCTAAACCCTTAAAACCCTAAACCCTACACCCAGGGAGAGTCTTGCAAGCCTGGCCGCGCGCCTCTCACTCCATTTCGCTGACTGGCCGGTTGTGTGGGCAGAGATGGACACCCCTCTTTTTCCCTTTCAGGGTATAGGGTTTAGGGTTTAGGGTTTAGGGTTCAGGGTTCAGGGTTCAGGGTTCAGGGTTCAGGGTTTAGAGGCCTTGAGAGTCTGGGGTTTTTAGGGGTTCAGAGGGAGATGTGCTAGGACCCTTTCTTGACGAGGCGACTCCCCTACAAACCCCGCGCCTGCCCGAAAGGTTGCCCTAACTCTTGGGGGCGACATGAACCCTAAGATTGGGGTCATTGACTACTATCATTCATACCAAGGTATATGAACCCTAAACCCTTTTAGGGTTCTTAATTCTTAGTAAGGTATATGAGCCAGAATACACTTTTAGGGTTCTTATTTCTTAGTAAGGTATATGAACCAGAAAACCCTTTTGGGGTTCATTTAGTCCCCAAGGTTGGGTTACATGGGAATACTGGCGGAACTTTCAGGGCCTGGTGGTGCGAGTTCGGCGTATGGCCCGGAACTTGAAGGTTTAGGGTTTAGGGTTTAGGGTTTAGGGTTTAGGGTTTAGGGTTTAGGGTTTAGGGTTTAGGGTTTAGGGTTTAGGGTTTAGGGTTTAGGGTTTAGGGTTTAGGGACCCGGATGACGACAACGAACCTCCAAGAAGGCCATGGACTCTTCACCGCCCAAACCTTCAATACTAAG